GACTCCCTGCTGAGCAGGGAGCCCGATGTGGGACTCGATCCTGGGACTCCAGGATCATGACCTGAGCCGAAGGCAGTCGCTGAACCAACTGAGCCACCCAGGCGCCCTTACTGTAGATTTTTCTTAATTTTATTGTTTATTGTAGGCTCCCTCCCACAGGAAAGTAAGCCCCATGAGGGCAGGGGTTTTTGTGTTTTGTTCACTGCTGTTTCTCTGGCACCTGGAAAAGTGCCTGGCACAGAGTCGGTACTTGATAAATGTTGAATGAATGATACCGTTTACTCTCTATGGAAACTCTAAGAGAGAGTCAGTATAATCGCCCTCCTCTTTACAGATGAGAAAACTCAAGGTCAGAAAGCCTTAGTGACTTCTGCCTGGAAGACTTGGCCCCCAGGTCTTCCCATGGCTGTCTCCTCTCCCTTCAGGTCTCAGCCCAAAGGTCACCTCCTAGTAGAGGTTGTCCCTGACCACCAGTGCTAAATCAGACCCAACCCTGCCCCATCTATCACTGTTAATTCAATTTCACTCTCTTCATGGCACTTCTCAGTACCTGAAATGTTTGTGCTTAGGTGGAGGGTCACCTCTCTCCCCCCTAGAATACACCTCCTGAGAGCAGGCACTCTATCTCGCTCACCGCTTACCCACAACATCTCAGCTGTGGGTGGGTGCTCGACTGACTGGGCCCAGGAGCTAAGTGTGAGCCAGATTCTGACAGCAGGGAAACAGGAGAAGGTTCTGATGGTCAGCTGTTCGTTGGATGGGCCAGACCCTGGAGGTTCCAGGTGGGGCAGCCACTAACCCTTCCCCGGTGAGGGCACAGCAGCCCTGGATGTGCCACGGGTGGTCTTTGATGGTGCTCAGAGTGAGGAACTGAGAGATCTCCATGGTGGTCATGGAGTTCTTCATATCCTGCTTGTTGGCAAAGATCAGGACAGAAGCATCTCGCAGAGCCTGTGCACAGAGGAGCCCAGCCCCAGTCAGCCGGCCAGGGCCTAACCTCCCTTCCCCCTTCCCCCACCCCCGAGTCCTCCCTAGCTCCCCTGCTGTCCCAGGTGGGACCAGCGTGGGGCCACCACATGCGCAGACACCCACAGCTCGGGGAATGCCTGCCCACCAGCTCATATGATCCTACGACAGTGCCATGAGGCAGGAATTTGGTGATCCTCCCCATATTGTACTTGGGGAAATGGAGAGAAGTGAAGTGACTTGTCTGGGGGTCCCGTGGTGAGTGAGAAGTGGGGTGACGACCTGGACCAGCAGCTCTGGCTTCTGCAATCAGTTGTGTGGAGGGCATTGTGGCCCTTCATCTGGGATAAACTCGCCCCATCCAAACTGCTGGAGAAGTGGCTCTCAGACACTGGGGACTCAGGAACGAAGCTCAGAGAGGCTAAGTGAGTAGGCTGAGGTCCCACAGCTAGTACACCGGGCCCTCTCCCAACCTCAGGGGCCTTACCTCATGGGCCAGCATCTTATACAGCTCCTCCCGAGTGGTCAGCAGCCGGTCCCGGTCCGTGCTGTCAATCACAAGGATGATGAACTGGCCAGCAGAGAGCAGCTGTGAGTGGTGGGTTTCCTCCCGCCCACTGTGCTCCCCGACCCGGCCTCTGCACTGCCCCATGTAAGCCCCATGCAGTGCGTGTCTGGTCTGGAGCTTTCACTGTCCTAGCCCCATTTTCATTCCCTTTTCCATCCAGACGGTGGGGGAACACAGCACGACTCTGATTGTGTGCCAGAGGCGACGCCCTGGTCGTTCGTGACGGCGTTCAGGTCCCACCACAGCCCTGGGCGACTGGACTAGGCTTAGCGCCATTTACAAATGAGATGGGTTCAGCGAGGCGACAGATGTTGCCCCAGGACACACAGCTGGTGAGTAGCAGCGCTGGAATTCGCCTTCAGTCTCACTCGGGGAAGCAAACTACCAAATCTTGCAAGAGTGAGAAAGGCCCCGGAGCCCGAGGGCCTACCCCATGCAGAGCGGCACACAGAGCTGCCAAGAGGTATTCAGACATTTTTAAAAAACACTGTGCTGCATTAAGGATTTGAAATGTGTGCGTTAGCTGTTGTTTATTATGTAATTTTCACAACAATTCAGGGCAGTCGTTATTACAGTCTCCACCTCACAAAGTGGGGGAACCAAGGCTCAGAGAGGTTAAGTGACTGGCTCATGTCACACAGCAGACTTCAGGGCCCCTCCAGCCCCAACACTCTGCTCACCTCAGTGTTGGAGTAATAGGTATTCCAGGTAGAGCGCAGAGCCTCCTGCCCCCCTATGTCCCACACGAGGAAGTGTGTCTTTCGCAGAACGATCTCCTCCACATTGCTACCGATGGTGGGAGATGTGTGGACCACCTCATTCATCAGGCTGGGGAGGGAGGAGAGGGCACCAAGAGTTCAGCCCATTCTGCTCCCAGCTCTGGGCCCCGCACCCCTCGGCTCCCGAGTCAGGTTGAACCTAACTCAGAAAAACTCGGCTCAAGTTGGCCAAGCCTGTGGGCACAGGGGAATGCAGACAGGAGTGGGACCAAGTCCTGCCCTGGCGTGGACCCCAGAGACAGGAGTCGTATTAGAGCCGTGTCCCCAAACTTTATTTTTTTTTAAAGATTTTATTTATTTTTTTGAGAGAGAGAGAATGAGAGATAGAGAGCACGAGAGGGAAGAGGGTCAGAGGGAGAAGCAGACTCCCCGTCGAGCAGGGAGCCCGATGTGGGACTCGATCCCGGGACTCCAGGATCATGACCAGAGCCGAAGGCAGTCGCTTAACCAACTGAGCCACCCAGGGACCCTGTCCCCAAACTGTAATATGCAGTTGAAACACCTGGGAGTCTTGTTAAAATGCAGATTCTAGGGGCACCTGGGTGGCTCAGTCCTTAAGCGTCTGCCTTTGGCTCAGGTCATGGTCCCAGGGTCCTGGGATCGAGCCCCACATCCGGCTCCCTGCTCAGCGGGAGGCCTGCTTCTCCCTCTCCCACTCCCCCTGCTTGTGTTCCCTCTCTCGCTGTGTCTCTCTCTGTCAAATAAATAAAATCTTTAAAAAAAATGCAGATTCTATTCCAGTGAGTCTAGGCTGGGGTCCAGTGTTCTGCATTTCTAACAAGCTTCCAGATGATGGCAATGCCGCTGATGTGTAGACACACTTGGAGCAGCAAGGGATTGGGAAAACGCGACAGATACAAGTGAAGGCCATCAGAGAGGTGCTTTGTTTAACAGAGAGAACACACATTTTTTTATATGTAGGGGGTGCCTCTGGAAGATCTGGGCATCAGGGGTGATTGGGAAACTTACTTTTCACTGTATGTGCTTGTAATGTTCGATGTACTCTTCTGGTTTAAAATAAATATTTACATATATTTCTTTTTCAGGGGAAAATTTTCCTACGTAAATACTCTGGAGGTTCCAAAGGGGGAGAGATGCCATCCAGAGAGTGGACATCGGGAGCTACAGAGCTCAGCCAGACTCAAAACTAGCCCTCCGCTGTGGGTGTGAAGAAGGGGAGAAAGTTAAGAGGCGAAGTTCGGGCGCAGGAGTTAGAAATGTGGAACCCGCCACTAGGGGGAGCGAAGAGCAGGGAGGCAGGAAGTCAGTTTCTGACAGCCTCAGGCCTCCAACAGGGTCTGGTAGGGGCGGGGGTGGGAGGGGGATGGCGGGGACCGTTAGAGTCGCCCATATCGGGCAGGACTCGAATGCCAGGCGAGGGACCACAGGACTTAAGGGTCACTATGCCAGGAAGATCACAGAGCTTCCCCCCACCATCACTCCTCCTGTCTACTGGAAAACCCGGGAACCCAGGGAAGGGCTCCGGCGATTGATCCAAAGGTCAGTCAGTCTGATGGGAAGACCCAACCCCCACCTCTTTCCATCAGAGAGTCACTTACAACTGGTAGAGAATGGTGGTCTTTCCGGCATTGTCCAGTCCCACGATGATAACCTTGTGCTCTGGAGGCATCCAGGGGAGGAGGCAGGGTCAGGGCCAAACTCAATAACCAAGGGACTGAGTGCCCCATCGGGCTTCCCAGGAAGGAGATGAGTGTTTCCAGCGAGCTGGGAGACCTCTGCCCATTGTACCACTTCTGCTCCCCTGCACTCCTCCCCGACAAAAACCCAACAGGACAGGGTTCCTCCCCCCACCCCCAGACCCCGGAGAGCCGCACCACCCCTCGACAGTGGAAATGATTGCTGAGCCCCGCCTCCCTCGCTCCACATTTCCAGAAAAGCGGTTGCCGGAAAGGTCCGGGTCTTAACAAGAGAAGGGGCCTGGAGAAAGGGCCACGATCGCAGGAAACCCGCGGCAGCTTTTAGCCAGGAAGACGGGGGCTCGCCGAGCCCTGCACCCCGGGGTGCACCGAAAGCGCGCCACCTGCGAGGAGCAGGCGGGGAGGGGCTGTGGGAGGGGGCAGGGGAGGCCGCGGAGCCTGCAAGGAGTGCCCACGTAGGACCTTCGGAGCCCGAGGTCCCCCAGCGCATCCGCCCCGACCCCAGATCCGGGGAGCTCCAGGTGGGAGCCGGATCAAAGCGGTCGCTTGAATGCGCTGTGCGCCCTTTACCCTGGTTCCCGAAGATGGCCATCAACTTGGCGATCAGTTGTCCCATGGCGCGGCCCAGGCCGGAGAGGGGCAAGACTCAACGACCTTCGGGGGCCCGAGTCGAGCCAGGGTGCTTAGAACCCCGCCCCCCCGGGGAGGGCCGAGCGAGTTTTGCCTATGAGGTCACAGGAAGCCCGAGGAGTCACCTGCGGGACCTGGGAATCCCCTGGGACGGGGCGCCTCGCCGGTGCTATGAATGTCACGGCGACAACGAACAGGCTACTTGTCTAGAGTCCTAGAGGTGCAAGGAAAGTGGGGTCCAGACTCCACATCCTCCTCTTTGCCTTTGCCCTGAGAAAACTCCAGAGGTTCTCTGGGTGAACTGCTCCCCCACTGCATCAAGGAGGCCCGGCACAGTGGCTCACTACCAGGTCCCTGCTCTCCCTTCTCCAAGTGGCATGTGTGGGGCACTAGACTGAAGCAAAACCCTACCTTCTGCACCCGCCAGCTGTGTGGAGCAGGCGGCTCACTGATCCTCTCTGAGCTGGGAGAATATTCCAACCCTCAGCAGATCCCTAGTGTTTTCACTAGTGTGGCTCTTGCAGGCCCACTCAAAGTGAGTTCCCTTAGGGAAAGGCAGAGTCTCCCTTCCTTTTGGAGGTCCCTTGGTGATAGGCAACTTCTAGGAATAAATCCATACTGCTTCTATGATTCATTGGCAAACTGACTGCTCAGGCACAGCTCCCAGATCTGGGGGGATGGGCATCTGAAGATAAGGACGGAGCAAAAAGAGAGATCTCGCAGCCAGAGACCCTACAGAGGGGTACCAGATGCCAAGAGCCAGCAGAAGAGAACCTGGGCCAAGAAAGAGCCAGGCGGGAGGAGGGAGAGGGAGGAGGAGACTCTTTGTTGTGAATTTCCTTCTTTGCTTAAACTGGGAAAAACCAGAAAACAAAAAGAGAAGTGGGAAGGCAAGCCAACCTCAGGCTGAGGGGGCAGTTAGGAGAAGCCAGTTATCACACAGGAGAATCAACTCCTTCTGCCCCCGACTGCCACGGCCCTCCTACAGCCCATTAGTGCTCCCCTCCACTAAGGGAACAACCTTTACTCGTCTCCCTGCCTCTGCCTCCCTGATTCAGCACAGCCCTATTCACCTTCGTAAAGCACAGCTCAGAGTCCGTCACTCCACAGCTCATAAACCTTCAATGATTCCCTATCGCTCACTGGATTCAGATCAGCCACTTCACCTGACATTCAAGAGCCTCCGTGAACAGCCCCCACCTGCCTTTGCAGGTGATCTCCCACCTTCTGCATCCACTGGTCCTTGCTCACACATGCCCAGCTCCTTCCAACAATGCTTTTGCTTCTGTGTTTCCTCCACCTGAATGTCTTTCACCTTCTCAGAAAGGTGGATTCCTGAAAGCCTTTAGCTGCCTGCCATAAAAGCCACTTACTTCTCAAGCCCTGGCCTGGTTCTCCAGACAAATGGGGCTTCTCTCTACCCTGAGATTGGACACTGGCCTGTTTCCACCAATCAGCTGTGAGGCCTGGAGTGTGGGGTTCGGGTCTTGTTCACTTGTGTTCTCCCTGCACTCCCAGCCTGGTCCAGTGCCTGGCACACAGTAGGACCGTGTTGCTATTGGAGTGAAGTACAATGAGTTATGCTAGAGCCTGGTGTTTCGAGCATTAAAGAAGTGTGAGCACAAGTTGAAGAGGAACGAAGAAGGCTGGGAAGTGTATGGAGAGCAGAGGGAAAACAGTTGGCTAAATAAGGAATTCTCATCCTACCCGCCTTGGTGCCTGGAGTTAGAGCGAAGGAGAATTGACTACCAGAGCCCATTTCAGCCCCAGGAAAGAAGGAGAGCTGGGTGCGATAGGGTGGGGGTGCAGAGGGGGCTGGGGGAAGCAGTAATATTTTAAGCACTTTTACCATCTGTTTCCTGGGGCAGGGAGGAACCCCTTAGTGCATCCTGCCCCCTCCCCCAACTACCACCACCAATTGCAGAATTGAAAGTGATATTCTGCTAGCTGGAGCACAGTCAGTAAACAGACGAGAGCTGCCTCGGCTGCCAGGCCTAGAGCCTGGGTCTTAGGGGGCATTCATTCATTTATTTGACAAATAGGAGTCAGGAGTTAGGAAACAGGCCAAGTAGACAAAACAGACCCTGTCTGGGTCTTTTGGAGCCTTTACCATCTAGTGGGAGAGAGAAATATACACATCAAAAAATAAAACCAAAACAAAACCCTGAGAGACAGTAGGTAGGAAGGCACACTTTTCTGAGGATGTAATTATTGGCACTAAGACAAGATTTTTCTTTAGGGTACCAGCTGGAACACCCATTGCTCCCGGGCCGTGGAGGGAGCTCAGCTTCCTTGATTTTTTGGAAGGTGGAAACCTTCAGCCACACCCAGGACTGAGGCCTCTCTGACCTCAGCTCAGAAGCTGGACAGAAGCTACTGGTCAGGGAAGGAGACGAGGGGTCCCCGATAGGAGGGGTCCTCAGCGCCTCAGTTCCCAACTCCCTGAGGTGGTGGTAGCACCAGCCTCTGGACACCTAATCCCAGCTGACTTTACGGTTGTTGAAATCCTCACATGCTGACAACCACCAACGTGCTGAATGTACATCAGTTGAGGGGTTGTGGTTACCAAAAGATAATCTCTCTTTCTTCATCTCTCAACACCTCTACACCACCTAGAATTGCCCCCACCTGCAAGTTACCAGCAAATGCAATTTCAGGCAGAAGGCACATGAAGAGGAGACAAACATATTCAGACACCTGCTTCTTCCTCCCCAGCCCTCCTCCCCTTGCAGAAGCCAGAGCAGGGTAATTGGCATGAGACTTGGAGTTCACAGGCACCACACACAACTTGAACTCCAAAGATCTGAGTTCAAGTGCTTGCTCCGTAGCTGTGTAACTATGGATGTTGCTTAGCCTCACGGAACTTTATCTGTAAACTGAAGTTAGTAATCCCTGCCCTTGATTCAAAAGATCGGGCTCCCCCCCAGACGAAGCTCTCTGCAGTTCCGATTCTCCAGACTAAGCACCCAGCTGTCTTCTGTTCTTCTCCTCTTGGGTGTCCTTCCACAGGCACCATAAACCCACCTTGTCCAAAGCTAGACATTGTTTCTGATCTGACCTGGTTTTTCCACCTGCTTCCTCTATGTCTGGGAAGACCATCACCCATAGTCATCCCCAGATGCCTCCCTGTCTCTCACTGGCCACCTCCAGTTGCTCTCCACGAGCCCTGGATTCAAACTGCTAGATGTTTCTGACAGCCATTGCCTCCTTTCCCATCCCCCTGCTGTGGCCTACTGCAGCCCACCCTTGTTTCTTTCTTTTTTTTTAATTATGTTATGTTAATCACCATACATTACATCATTAGTTTTTGATGTAGTGTTCCATCCACCCTTGTTTCTTACCCAGAGTATTGCAGCTCTGTCCAAGCTAGGCCCGCCAATCTATGCTCCAAACCGCAACCAAGGCAACTTTGTCATTGCTGCTTACAATCCTTCAATTTCTGCACAGCAGCTTCAGGACAAAGCCCAAACTCCTTCACATGACTCAAGGTCCACCGTGATCTGCTCCTGCTGGCCCTTCTCTGACCACCCCCTTGAGAGCACACTTTGCTGGTGAAGTACCAGGAACATGTCATGCATGTCACCTGCTTCCCCTGTCTTGAACACTTCCCCCCCTGCCCACCCAGGTTAACTCCTAACCAGCCTTCTAGACTTCACTCAAGCCTCACCTCCTCTGAGAAGCCTCTCCTGACCTCCCCAGGCTAAGGGAATTACCCTTCTACCAGGTTCCTGCAGAACCCAGTGCTTCTCCCAGCAGAGAGCTCACCATGCTGTCCTGAACGGTCTGTGGCTCCCTTTTAGACTCGTGCCTGGTACATGGTAGGTGCTCAATAAATGTCCAATGAGTAAACACGGGAATAAAGGATTGATTCCATTGAAAGGCATTGGGGTCAGAGCGCTAGGCTGGGAGGCAGAGACCGGACTCCAACCCCAGCAATCTTTGCCATCAACTCCCTGGGACCTTGGGCCAGCCACCTGACCTGCGGACCTGCCCAATTCCTTTCCTTGGGTCTGCTAATGCCTCACCTGGGAAGGTCTAGATGTCTGCTGCCCTACACCTCTCCCCCCCCCACACACACACACACTTTGAGCAGAAGCATTCAGGTAAGGAACCCAGGAGCTCTAGTCCTCCAGGTCCACCACCCCAGAAACAAGAACCAGGAGAGTGGCGACATGGTTTGTGAGTGCCACATGAGGCAGGATACAGGTGCCAGTGGTGACAGCGGTCCGGAGTCCACATCCTGCCAGCTGGGGATGACGAAACTGACATAGTCCCCTGCCGACTCTCTCACTCTTGATGTTCTCAGCTGGGGCTGGTGGAGCCCCCATTCTCTGCCCCCCCGCCCCCGTAGACCTCTTCCATTCCCCAAAGCTGGTTAGCAGGACCATCAGTGGAGGAGGGAGCCGGAGGGGAACTCAGTCACTCTCTCAGGAGGTGCTGGGCAGCAGCTGAGGCCACAGGAGCAGAAAAACTGGATCTCACCCACGGAATCATGCCTGCGACACCCCATTTCTCCGCCTCAGCTTCCCATTCTTTTCTGGCTCTACTTGTGGGGAAACGGGTAAGACTTGGGACTGAATGGGAAGCGGCAGCTGAAACTGGCCACACAGGACCGTGAGGCCTCAAAGAGCCGCCAAAGCACCGTCTGTCCTGGTGAATCAAGGGTTCGGGGCACGGCTTCCTCCCGCGCCCGCCCCTGCACGCTCCCCTGCGTGGCGGCAGCTCCCACCTGCCCAGGCTGACCGCGTGGCAGGAACGAAGAAGCAGGCTCGGGAGGCGGCGGCAAAGGACAGGACGGCGGTTTTATATGTGGCCAAATACTTCTAGGGGAGTACAGACGGACAGACAGACAGATTGGGGGCACAGGACACCAGACAGGGAGGGGGTGGGGGGAGACTGGGCAGTGGTGTCTTCTAACCAGTGAGTGGAAGCTGCACCCCACCCCAGGTGGGGGGGGCCAACACTGGCACAGGAGGTGGTGAGATAGGCATGAGGTGCCCATCCCCGAGGCGGGCAGCCGGGCAGGGCCCAGTCCTCGTTGGCACAGTCGGCTCTCTGGCCCCACTGCGTGCTGGGGAGGGGCAGGGCTGCGGGGCTGTAGGGACACTAGGCTGAGGACCACTGGGGGGGCCAGAGGGGGTACCAAGGCATCTCCTGGGGGGGAGTGGACGTGGAAGAAGGACAGGATCACAAGAGGCAAATGCAGAGCAAGACCAGCAGCAGCCAAGCCCCCAGGGGAGATCCAAGGCCCCGAGGTGACCCCTGGGGCAGCGATTACCTCTTGGGCACCAACCCACAGGGCCTCTCCCCTGGGGCCTCCGGGCAAAAGTGAAGGAGCAGTTTTTTTGGTTTCAAAATGAGGCGGACTAGAGTGTTCCATGGGTGCCACACCCAGGTGAAATGGGGTGGGGGGCTCAGACGCACAGGGGCCCCCTCTTCTAATGGCAGTAGGCAAGGGAGGTTGTAGGCAAAGCTCATTCCTGGCGCAGGCGGAGGCTGAGGCATGGAAGTGGTGGGGTGGGTAGCAGGGTCTCCGGCTGCCCGCTCCTCAGGGGTCCAGGTCTGGCAGAGGGCAGTGCATTTGATGCCTGCCGCTCTCTACCCAGACCCCTCACCAAGACAAGTTCCCCATGGGGCTTCTATTCTGTACCTTTCACCCACCAGACAATGCTGCCAGGAAGCTGGGAGAAGGGTGGGCATGGTGAAGGAACCTGGATCTGGGGTTCAGGGAAGAGAGCCCTCACGGGAAGGAGTCTATGGAAGCCCCCTTACCATTCCCAAATACTCCAGGTTGGGGAAAGAAAGGGCTACCCCATTTAGGACCCTTATTTAGAGCCCCAAGTATAAAGAGTTAAAGAAGTGCACCTTTTCTCTGGGAGTGAGCAGAGAGAGCCCCCTGAGGTGGGGGAAAAGGGACACTGCAGAAAGGTGGGCATCCCCCCATCCACCCACAGCAGTAAGTGAAAACCTACAGCTGGGCTTTAAGGGAATCCCAGGAGCTGGGATGCTACCACCAAAGAAACCCCAACCATCCAGCGAAGGCATCTGAGAGGGAGACAGCGCCCCCTGGAGGAAAGATACACCCCCGTGGTGAGCCCCTTGGTCCCTCCCCTCCCCTGGGCCACTATGTGGCCCCTGCTTCTCAGCGGATGTAGACACCTCGCCCCCAGCCTTCCAGCTCATTCTTGTTGCGCCCCAAAACTGGGCCCCCACCCTCTGCGCAGTAGCGGGCCTTATTCCGGCCACGGTTCCGGTTGTCGGTCAGCTCCTCTTCATAGTCTTCCTCATCCTCCCAGGATCCCTGCTGGGCTGGTGGGGTGCTGCCCCCTGCAGGGTCTCCGAGCCCTGGCCCCTCTGAAGGGTCCGTTTCCATGTCCACACATGAGTCTCCCAGCTCCGTGTAGGCAGAGTTTCGGTTGCCAGGGGTGTCGGCATCAAACGTGTCTTGGCGAGACAGTGCCCGCAGGGTGCCCGCCCGGCCTGGTGGGTGGCTGCTGGGGTAAAGGCCCGGGGGCTGGCCCAGCTCCCCGGGGTACTCGTGCACACTGGCGTGCTCCCCGGTGGCCCGTTCCAGCGACTGGTCCCCGGAAGCAAGGTAGGGTCCCTGGTTAGCAGACGGACAGCACACACCATGCAGATCAGGCAGGGGTGAGAGAAACACAACAAAGCAGGGCAGGTTAGTGATGGCGCCAGAACACCCAACCTGGCTAAAGGAGGTGGGTGCTGGATCTATGGGATGGGCAGCTGGGCAAATGGCTCTACAGCCCAGCCAGAGGACAGACCTCAGGGCATTTGCTCCTCTATTGGGACAGGAGGCACCCAATCTTCATAAGACAGGAGGAGGCATGAACTCTTCTGGTAACCATGGTAGAGAGCCCACGAATAATTAGTCATTGCTTCCTCAATGCACGTCATTAATCTGTCTTGGGCTAAATCATCATTAACAGCTCATTAGCTTCGCCACTTGTTAGTGGTTGATTGGGTTAGTCACTGCCCCAGTTTTCCAAATATACTAAGGGGATTTCAGCTTGAGCTCACTAACCCCAGCTCCTTCAGCCCAAACCAGACCCTAATCACAGGCTTCCTTCCAGAGCCCCACACCTCCCCCATCCATTCCCTGGTCAGATGACAAAGTCTCCAGGGTTGATAGGATTCCTCCCCCGCCCCCAGCAAAAAAACAAAGCAGCAGCCTGGGGAAAGCTGATGGGTCTCCAACCCCCTCCATACACACTCCCCACCCCCTCCCCCAGAGACAATGAGGTGGCCCAACATCCTCAGCACCAAATGCCACATAAAGGTGATCTGATGGTCACGCCACCATGGAGGCGGCTGGGTGGGGTGCAAGAAGGCCTGGGTTCTAGTCCCATTCCTTGCCACTTTAAGCTGTGTGACCCTGAGCAAATGACTCCTCTCTATGGCCCAGTTTCTCTGCGGTGGTATCATGGGGATTAGACCAGCAGTTTCCAAGCCGTTCCCTGGAGACCCGAGGTGGCGGGAAGGGCACAAAAGTGCTTCAGGGGTCCCTGTAGAGGAGAAACGGAAGCCAAGCCCCCAGCTCCCTCTGAGCAGAGCAAGGCCACTTTATATACTGAGCTTCCTTAGAAGTTTCAATGAACAAATGAGCTCTGTTACTGAAAACAAATTTGAAAAGCAATGGTCTTAGAATGATTTCATGGCTCTCTTCTGGCTCTAATCTAGAACCAAATACTTAATGGTGTGAGCCTAGAGATGGGAAGCAGCTCCCAGGGGAGGAGGTCCAGCCAGGGCAGGGCACCCACAGGAGGACCTTTCCTGGAATCTGTTTCACTGGGAGAAGGATGGAAGGTAGGGCATCAACTCAGAGAAGATGCTTCATTCTGGGTCCCCTCTGAGGAAGCTCCTGGGATTAGGGCTCTGAGAGAAGGGACAGTCTCTCTGGGCTTAATGGCCCTGCTCTGTGGGAACTGCCTGGGGTTGATGGCCCTTGCTCTGCTGGGTCTAAAATGGATGTGGGGGTGCCTGGCTGGCTCAGTCGGCAGAGCATGCAACTCTTGATCTCTCGGCCACGAGATCCAGCTCCACATTGGGTATAGAGATTACTTTAAAAAAATAAATTTAAAAAATAAAACCAAAATGTGTGTGAAGTGCAGTGAATGAAAATATCAGTCTTCCTTATGTTTTCCTCCTAATCCCCTATCTTATAATAAGGCCCCCATCAGGCCTCATATCCAAAAGCCCCTAGGGCAGCAGCTGTAGACCTATGGGACCAGGCCCAGGGGGGCACCACCAGCCAGCCCCAATCCCATCAAAAACCACAGACACCAGAAGCTGCCACTCACCACGTTTTTCACAAAATAAAGCTCTTCCCTTCCTTCCCCATGTTCCCTGCGCTCCAGTTCGAGCCCTGGTCAGGAGGGGCAATGAGTGGGACACCTACATGGCATGCTCCTGCTGCTGGGGCACCGACCTGGCCGGCTGAGAGGCCTCCAGCCCACCCCAGAAGCTGAGATTTCTCCTGAGTGAGGTGAGCACCTGTACCTGGAGGTTGGAGACAGGGGCAGGGCTGGCGGCCAGAGCCGCAGTAGCCATGGTACGGTTCAGCAGCGGATTGGGCGGAGTGCTGCTGGGCGGGTGTGTGGCCTTCCAATAGGCTTCCAAGTATTCGGCCAAGTGCTCGCAGGCGTCCTCCAATTGGTTCTCGTCCAGGATGATGTCAAACATTTCCTGCGGAGGCGGGGTTAGGGGCGGGGCTGGGATGAGCCGGGCGAGACTGAGGGGGTGAGGGTGTGGCCTGGGTGCAGTGGGTGGAGTCAAAGGGTTGAAGGACAAAGTTAAAAAGAAACCTCTGGATGTCCAGGAAGAGGAGGACTCTCAGATATATACACTGGCAGAACTACAAAAGGTCTTGGCACCCAGACAGTCCAACTCTCTCATCCTGGATATAAGGCAACCCCGGCTTGACCCCACAGAGAAGTGGGGCTTCCGGGGCTCGAACGCAGTGTCTGACCGCCTGTCCGGCGCTCTTTTCCCGGGAGACCAGTTCGCACCTATAGACCCCACCCTGGTGCTCCTGGTCACTCTGTCTCTCATGCAGACCAGAGGAAACAGGAGAACCCAAATATCTCCCCTTTCCCAGGGTCTGAGCACTCACGGGGGGACACTGCGCCAGCTTCTCGGAGGCCGCTATTTGGACATTGAGGTGTTTGGACTGAGACTTCCCTCGGGACTTGATGAGCCTCTGAAGTACCTAGTTTGGGGTGAGAGAAGCAGAGCTAGAGGGATCTCTCAATGCACCAAATCAGAGAAGCAGGTCCTGGGTGGAGCGAGCGTGTCAGGGCCGGGGGGTGGATGTTGGATGACTCTCAGCCCTGGACACCTCTTCAGAAATGACCTTGCCAGCCCTGTGTCCCTCCTTACACAGTGCTCAGGCTCACTCCAGGGTCTCATGCCAGGCTCTCCTGGGAAGGGGCTATCTGAAAGGCAGTGATTCGCCTTCCTGATTCCTGTCACCTTCTTTACAGGCTTCATTCTCCAGGCCATAGCATCCCCACGGGAATGGCAGCAGCCATCTTTGATGGGACACTTGCTGCGGACAGGCACTGGTCTGTGCTTTCCACATGATCAGTTCATTTAGTCCTGACAATAATCTCATGAGGTAGCCACTATTATTATTCTCATCTCCACAGCAATCATGATAACGGTAATAACAGCTAACTAGAAAGCCATGACCTTAACGAAATGATCAAAGTCAATGTCACCAATGAGACAGCAGACACCTCGTGCTTCTTGATGCAACATGCTCAGAAAGACACGTCGCACCAAAATGCAAAACCTAAGCCTCATCACAAGGAAACATCAAGCAAACCCACACTGACGAACAGTCTACAAAGTAGGTGGTCTGTACTCTTCAAAAACGTCAGCATCGTAAAAATCCAAGAAAGGCTGGGGAACTGTTCCAGTTTAAGAATGTGAAAGAGAGGGGTGCCTGGGGGGCTCAGTCGGTTAAGTGTCTGCCTTTGGCTCAGGTCATGATCCCAGGGTCCTGGGATTGAGCCCCGAGTTGGGCTCTCAGCTCAGTGGGGAGTCTGCTTCTTCCTCTCCCTCTGCCTCTCTGCCTCCCACTGCCTGTGCTCTCTCTCTCTCTCTCACTGCTGCTCTCTCTCGCTCGAATAAATAAATAAAATCTAAAAAAAAAAAAAAAAGAATGTTAAAGAGATAAAGCAACTAAATATAACACGTGATCCTGGGTTGAGGGAGAAATTGCCATAAAGGGCATTATTGGGACAATTAAAAAATGAAGGACTGGCATGCCTGGGTGGCTCAGTCGTTAAGCGTCTGCTCAGGTCATGATCCCAGAGTCCTGAGATCAAGCCCCACATCGGGCTCCCTGCTCAGCGGGAAGCCTGCGTCTCCCTCTCCCACTCCCCCTGCTTGTGTTCCCTCTCTCGCTGTGTCTCTCTCTGTCAAAAAAATAAATAAGGGCGCCTGGGTGGCTCAGTCGGTTTAATCGACTGCCTTCGGCTCAGGTCATGATCCTGGAGTCCCGGGATCGAGTCCCACATCGGGCTCCCTGCTCGGCAGGGAGTCTGCTTCTCCCTCTGACCCTCTTCCCTCTCGTGCTCTCTCTATCTCTTATTCTCTCTCTCAAATAAATAAATAAAATCTTTAAAAATAAATAAATAAATAAAATCTTAAAAAAAATTAATAAAAATAATAAAGAAAGAAAGAAAAAAGAAAAATGAAGGACTATAATATTTCTTCAATTTGGCAACTGTACAGTGGTTATGTAGATTAATGTCCTCAGTTCTTAAGAAATACCCGTTGAAATATTTAGGAATAAAGACATGGTATCTACAACCTACTCTCAAATAATTCAGAAAAAATATATATTCACGTATACATAACACATACATAAAGATAAATGTGGCAAAATGTTCAAAATTAGTGAATCTGCAGAAAACTAAATAATATACTTTAAATGGCTGAATTGAATGGTGTGTGAATTATCTCAATAAAGCTGTTTAAAAATTACTGAATCTTGGGGCACCTGGGTGGCTCAGCCGTTAAGTGTCTGCCTTCGGCTCAGGTCATGGTCCCGGGGTCCTGGGATCGAGCCCCGCATCGGGCTCCCTGCTCGTGGGAAGCCTGCTTCTCCCTCTCCCACTCCCCCTGCTTGTGTTCCCTCTCTCGCTGTCTCTCTCTCTGCCAAATAAATAAATAAAATCTTTAAAAAAAAAATTACTGAATCTTAGTGAAGGGCATTCAAAGAATGGCAGTTCTTGGTACTCTTCTGGCAACTCTTCTCTAGATTTGGAATTATTTCAAAACAAAAACAAAACAAAAGAACAGATATAGTGCTTAGTAGGTCCTGGGCACTTTGCATGGTTAACCCACCTATGTCATCCTCACAACCACCATGTGAGGATCTCCATTTTGCAGGTGAGGACACGAGCACAGAGAAGTTAGGGGACTTTGCCAAAGGAGCACAGAGCTGGGAGTACAGTGCTGGTTCATTAACTCTGGGCGCCCTGGCTCCAGAGTCCCCGCCCTTCACCTCGGTCAGTGCCCCTGGGAGAAATGGAAGGATCGGTTACTTGCCAGCTCAGAGTGTTTTTGTATCCATTATCTCATTAGATCCTTTCAACCACCTCAGGAAGGACTTCAATCCTATCCTCCCCTTTCTGCTCACTAGAAACTAGAAAGGTTGGGGTACCTGGGTGCTCTGCTCATAGGGTGTGTTCATAAAATGGGAACAGTTACCACCCTTGGTTGTCAGTCATGAGTCAGACAGAACTCAGGGCTCTTTCCATCATTACCTCAAATCCCCTCAACAATAACAGGGGAGAGATTTCAATTCCCATTTCATAGGTGAAGAAATTGAGGCTCGGAGGCTAAATAAATCCTCCAGAGATCCCAAGCTCAATAACAAAACAACAACCAAACAAACAACAAAAGTGAGTGAGTGAATGAATGAATGAATGAATGAATGAGTAAGTCAACCAGAGCAAAGGCTTGAACCCAATGCTGTTTTCTTACTTCAAATCCTTCACCTAAACTCTCCCTCCATGCTTCTCAAACCCCCGCTAACGTCTAGGAGGGGAAACTCACAGAGCCGCAATACGAACAAGAAGTAAACCAGCCTTCCTACTGATTCATTTCTATCAAGGTCCAAGCGAGGACAGTGCAGCAAAAAGGGACAAAATCAAATGACAGAAAAGACCTCCCAACTGCCAAGTAGTTGGGTGACACTGCAAAAAAAAGCACAGAATTCTTTCAGTTTTCTGGATCAAGGATGGGAGGTCAACCAGAGTGGACACAGGGGGCTGGCCTGCATGACCCTATAATGATATTTATACTAGCTAATACATGATGAGGCACATTATACCAGACCCTTTGCTAAGGGCTAAGCATTCACATTAGGTTCGATTTTCACAATGTCCATTTGATGGAGTTTTACAAAGGAGGAAAATAAGGCTCGGGGAGATTTGGTCACACAGTTAATAAGCAGTTGCTGGGATTGAAATACAGGCCACCCAACCCCAGAGCATTCCTGTCCCCACTAGGGTCAGGCTCTCGCACCTACCTTTGGAGAGGTGATCTTGATGTAAACAATGATGGGGGCCAGTGAGGTCTTAGAGAGCTGGGCTGGGTGGTTGATGGTGTCAGCATCCAGAGCAACCAACTGAAGGGTCCGGGCCAGCTCGAAGATTCGCTCGATCTCGCTCTGAACCTCAGCTGGGGGACACGGAGTCATGGGGAAGGGGGAATGTAGGGGGGCCTCCCCAAGAGGCAATGGACAATCCAACCCTTCTGGAGATGCACCCCCCACCCCCGCCCCACGTCGCAGGGTGGGCTTACCCAGGCTGGAGCGTGTGTTGGAGCGCTCAATGATGATGTGTTTGCTGGGGTTGTTGAGAACTGAGCGCTTAGCCAGGGAAATGTCTGCCGTCACACGAGTGATGGAGATCCTGAAGGATGGGGCGAGGGGAGTGAGGGGTCAGGGTGGGCTTGAATGCCCTGCTCACTCCCCAGGCTCCAGGCCTGCCTCCTAGCCCTCAGTACAAGGAGGCCCAGGATCAGCATTCAAGCCCACCCTGCCCATCCCCAGCAGCCCAGGACCACAATGGGGTTGGGGAGCCAGCTCCCAGGGTCTTACCTGCCATCAAATCGATGCTTCAGGAAGTCAAATAAAGCTTTCTGCATCATGTCTGTAACCTGAGGTTGGGGGGTGCGGGGCAGGGGGGAGTGAGGTATTTAAAGCCACTCAGGAAGGGTGGGCTGCCAAGTATTTACACCCTCACATTCCATTTTCTTCTCTAATTCCTGAGGTAAATGGGCCCCTGGGGGAGGTGGGGGGTTCCTTCTGGGTCTGAGGAGCCTCTGATGGGGTCTCTGATTCCAAAGGTTCTTCTAGGTGGATTCTCTGGGAGGAACCTTCTCGGGGGTGTCTTGGGGGAAGGGGACTGGACCCTTCTGAGTGAGTCTCCCTGTGGGTCAGGCCCCTCTGGGGGCTTCTCTGAAGGTCTGTAGCCCTCTGGGGAGATACCCTGGGTATCTGGGCCCTTCCAGGGGATCTCCCTGGGGTCTAAACCTTTCTGTAGCATCTCTTTAGAGATCTGGGCCCCTCTGGGTCCACACCCCTCTAGGGGCTCCTACCTCATAGCCCTTGAGCGACGGTCCCACCAGGATGATGGGCCTCATGGAAGGTACCACGTCATAGGGGGGCACATGCTCTGTCTGAGGGGGAAGCAGGGAGGGGAAACCCCAGAGTGGAGATGGCATTAGCCCCTCCCTTCCCCAGCCTCCAGGCTCCCCCATGCATTCTTTCCTCCCCCTGCTCCCAGAACCCAGATGTGGGGGATTGGGGTGGGGGTGGGGAGGGATGGCCAAGGAGAACCAGGAAGGGTGAGGGAAATGGGGGGTGGGTAGGGAGGGCACGAGAAGGGTGTTAGAAGGTCCCACTAGCTCATCCCAGGGGGTGGGGAGGGGGACACAGAAAGCTGTGATACTCACCGACTTCTGCTTCTGTTTGGCTGGGTCCAGAGATTGCCAAGAGTAGGGAGGCAGGGGGGAGAGGGGAGGGCACCCAGGCAGGGGCAGAGGCAAGGAAGAAGCCAGGACAAGAGAGGGAGGGAGAGTGGGCAGACGAGGAGAGATAACAGGGCATGCGTGTTAGTGACAGACAGAGCCAGAGAGAGGGGACGGGACCCCGTGCCAAGAGGGAGCCAGAGACGGCCCTAGGTCAGGGCTGGGAGAAGGACTGACAGTCCAGTGGACATATAAATATTTCCACCTACCCTTCCCCTTTCTGGGTCTTGGGAAAGTTCTGGAAAGGGTGACAGCCCCTAATTTGGTGCCCATCTCCTGCCTCTAGTGCAGTCCAACCTGCCCATTTTAAGGGTTCCTTAAACTGTCCTGCTGTGCAGCCAGTAGACCCCCACATGCCCATCCGAGCCCCACGGAGTCCAAAAAAGACCAGGAAGGGTTCACCATTCCGCTCTCCCCATCACATGCTGGGGTGGAGGGCAAACATGGAATATCCCTGTTTCGTTACCACCAGCCCCTGCTTCCGGGGGCGGTGGGGCAAGGGGTACAGCCTTCCAAGGGAAGGGGTGCTTCGACTGCAAGAAACATCCCTTCCTGGGGGTGGGCCACAGAGGGGTGGTGCGTGGAGCTGGACGTGCCCGCTCCTGGTGCCATGCCACCCCTCCCCGCTCCTTGGCAGGAGGCCTTGCTCCCCGCAGAACTGGGCCGGCACTGCATCTGAATCTGACCCGGCCCCTCCCCCTGCCAAAGAGCCGGGCCCTGACCCCCTGCCCTCTTGGCAGAACCCAGCAAGAATTACCTTCTTGAAGAAGGGGATGCGTTTGCCATGGGGTGGCGGGGTGGTGACACTGCTAACACTAGTCTTGGCAGAGCCGCTCTGCTCCCCGAGCTCTGCCTCCTCGTCCTCTAGCTCTAGGGGGTCTAGTTCAAAGGCTAAGTTAGTCATCTCATTACCTGGGCCGCAGTCAGGAGACAGGAGGGAGGCGAGGTGGGGAGGGGTGGGATGGACATGGAGACACAAGTACAGAAGGCAGGGACGGGGTGGGGAAAAAAGAAAGAAGAAGTGAATGGAACAGAGCTAGGAGAGATGAATGGGGCTGGGGCAGGGGGTCAGGCAGAGAGATGGAGCTACCAAAGAAAAGGGAAGGAGAGACACAGGAGAATGGGCGCTGACGGGCCCGGCTTGGGGGGCATCCTACTCTTCACGGAGGGGGTACCGCTGGGTGTGTTTGGAGGACTCAGGTCTGGGGCGCCCCCTACTGCAGGGAAAGGAGGGGACAGGCAGTGCAGAGACCCCCCCCCATTCCGGGAGCTCCCCCACCCCACGCCCACCATTCCCTAAGGTGGTAGCAGCTCTTACCACTGGCAGGGGGTGTGGGGCGGCGGGTGCCAGTCACCACGTCTCCTAGGCTGGAGCTGGAGTTGTCACCTGATTTGCTGTGTGGGCAGAGAAGCAAACGGAGCTGTGAGCAGAGGGGTGGGCGTGAGGGTGGGGGAAGCTTGTTCTCTCCTATGCTGCCTGCCACCCCCCCCCAGCCCCCGGAGATTCTCCAGCACCACGGGTGACACTGTTTGTAGCTATGCCCTCGGGGCAATGGGTCAACCCTTGCGGCCTAGTCCCAGCTGGATGGCTGGTCCCCAGCTAGACACCTGGAGCTGAGGCGGTTCTGGCGCAGCTTCTGTTCCTGCAGGAGGCGCAGGCTGTCCAGTTTGACAGGGCTGGGGATAAAGCCAACCTCACAGCCCTCCTTCACCAGTCGCCCAATCCACCAGTCGTTATTATATTTCTGCAAACGGCAACAGCAGGTGGGGTGGGAGAGACCAAGAGGGAGATTAGAGGGGCAAGCCAGCAGCCACCCTATGAAGAAACCACCCTGGGACCTGCTACGCCTCCCCAGGGGGTGGCACCTCTGAAGAGCTGGCCCCTGGCTCTAGCCTCTGAGCACAGCCCCCAGTCCTCAGAACAACTCCGTGACCTGCGGCCCCTTGGGCCATGGACCACCCCACCCCCCACATGTCCCTGTCCCACCATGTGCCCACCCCACCCTGGAAAGGCAGGGAGAGGGGTGAGTGCTGACACCCACGTGTGCCTGCACACTATCACCCCACTTACAAATCTCATCACAACCCTTTCGACATCCATGGGACCTTGGCATCACCACCCCATTTTACCAATGAAAATTAGAGGCTCAGAGAGGGGAAGAGATTTGTCTAAGCTCATACAGCAGATTCAGCCGAGCTCTGCTTGGCTCAGCAGTCTTTTTCCGCTAGAGCTCCAGCTGCCCTTCTCCTGGCACCCACTACCCTGCCCTCCTTCCAGACACCAAGTGCTCTCTCCACCTCTTTGATGTGCAGGAAATCCTTGGGCTCGAAGGTGATGGCCACTCCCTGCACCGGCACCTCATCCCCGGGAGATGGGTTGTAGCCGACATTTGTTCGCACAGCAAATGCCACCGGCTTGGTCTAGAGGTACACAGGGAGAATGACAACCAGAGGGTTAAGCCACGACGTACCGTAGTGGGATGGGGATGATGTGGAGGTTTGTTGTGTTGATTATTAAAAAGTATACTGAATTGTTTAAGTAGTTTTCCTGTATGTACACTAAATTTCACAATTAAAAAAAAAAATAGAATTCAGCCTTCTCAGGATGGAGGGAGCTACCGGGGATGGTAAGTATTAGCCTGGAATGACATCCAGAAAGACTATCAGTAATGATAACAACAACAACAATAATAATAATAATGACCAAAGCTATGGTTTACTGTGCCAGGTCCCGTGTTAACATGTTTTACAAGCATTACCTCATTTATTCACCACAAAAACCTTAAGAAGTCAACTACTAGGGGCACCTGGCTGGCTCAGTCAGTGGAGGACGCAACTCTTGATCTCGGGGTTGTAAGTTCGGGCCCCACACTGGGTGTAGAGATTACTTAAAACAAAATAAAATAAAATCTTAAAAAATAAAAAAGTTGGGCGCCTGGGTGGCTCCGTCGTTAAGCGTCTACCTTCGGCTCAGGTCATGATCCCAGGGTCCTGGGATCGAGTCCCACATCAGGCTCCCTGCTCAGCGGGAGACCTGCTTCTCCCTCCCCCACTCCCCCTGCTTGTGTTCCTGCTCTCGCTGTGTCTCTCTCTGTCAAATAAATAAATAAAATCTTTAAAAAAAATTTAAAAAAATTTAAAAAAATAAAAAAAACAAAAAAGTTAACTACTATTATTATCTTCATTTTAATGAATGAGGAGACTAAAGTTCAGAAAGGTTAAGCGGCTCGCCTGAGATCACACAGCTAATCAGGGTCAGTCCAGGATATTTGACTCCAGAAAGCAGTGGAGAGTCTCAAGTTCCTACTATGTGTGGACAACACTACTAAGCACTTATTATACTGTATGAGAAGGCGAGTAATAGAGCCCACATTTTACAGCTGCAAGACAGAAGCACACTGAGGCCCTGCGGTACACCAGCTGAAGAGTGGCCGGGCCAAGACTTGACCCTTGGTCTGTTCAGGCCATCCCTAAGGCCTGGGGGTGGGAAAATAGAGCCAGCGCAGCCCCCTGAGCCTGTATTTCTCACCTTGGCTTTCTCGAGCTGGGCTAATGCCTGGCGCTCTGCTTCCTTCCTTAGGGCTTCCCGGTCCTCCTCCAGAGACACGTCAGAGTCCGATGGTCGGCTGGTGTAGGACTCCGCCGAGCCCTGAAAACGGACCGGGCCGGCTCAGGGCCCGCACTGCCTCCTGGTTTCTGGGCCTCGGGAGGCACAGAGGGGCCACCCTTCATGAATGCCTCAAGCCCCAGCCAGCCCAGTGTGATGCCACAAGGGCTAGGAAAAGGTGGTATGAAATGAGAGAAGCCAGGGACTGAGATTGGCAGGCCCCTGGGAAAAGTGGGGCCCTAGGAAGGGTGACAGCAGCGAGCAGGGGGTTAAAGCAAGTCCCAGGACAGCTGCTTGGGGCCCGGGGAGGGGTGGGAACCTGATAGGGGCATAGCGCAGGGGAGGAGTGCCAGGGGACAGTCTCCACTCCCTGTTCCTCCTTCCCTCCCCTGCCCCCAGCACCATACCGGCTGAGATAGACTCGGGAGAAGCCCACTGAGTCCTTCCAGGGCCAGTAGCCACCAACATAGGCCTGAGCTCTCTACAAAATTGGCAGTGGGCAGCCTGCTCTGCAGGAAGGGGCCGCCAAAAATTTTGCTATCTTCTGCTCAAAGGTGAGGGGAGATAGAATCCTATTTCCCTGGCCAGAATCAGAGGAACCCCAACCCTCAGGCTCTCACAAATCCAAAAAGAGAACCTAAGATTCCTAGGGTAGTGCAGGCAAAAGAGGCAAGTGAAGAGCAGAACATGGGGCAGGCCTCTCTCTAATTCTAGGGCTGCTGGCTGCTAGGGTCTAGGCAGGCCCAGAAGTCTGGCTAGGCCAGGAAGCTGGCCTTGACCACACGGACCATCCCAGAGCACAAGGAACTCCCTCAGGGATGCAGGCGCATGAGTGAGGCCCAATGTGTCAATGAACATGCTTATCCACAGGCGTGCTTGGATGTGCAACTTCAAGTGCATTAAGGAGGCTGCGTTCTACGGTTGTGTGCTGGATATGCACGACTGAGTGCATATAGGTGCACCTGAGCACAGGCAGGGGGCACCCTGGGTGTGAGCGTCCCTGACCATGTGTGGCACATGAGGGCAGGAGCCAGGAGGTGCGCATTTGTGTCACTACACAAATGTGGCGGTGTTGGGACAGGGGCAGGAGGTACTGGAGGAAGAGCAGGACTACACGTGTCGGGGTTCTTTCCTGAGGCCATGAAAGGGTCACTTGGCCAGGGATGCCCAGGGGACCTAGGAAAGAGAGAAAACACAGTCCCACCTCCCCCAGAGGACCCTGTCATTAGCTAGTGAGGTTGCCCACTCCTTTCCCAGCCAAATCACAAAAGTAGGAGACTCGTGAAGGGGCAAGATTGGGGTGGGAGCAGGGTCACTGATGGAGGCCGGAAAAGAAACAAAAGGGAAGGAGAGTGAAAACCAGCCGACCTACTACTCTCCACCCGTCCTGATGAGAGCACTAAGAATCAAGGAGACAGATGCCCAGAGAGCCCGAGAAACAGACCCAGAGACAGAGTGGCAGAGAGGCATTTACTGATCCTTACAGACATGCGTGTACGCACGTGCACACACACACACACAGACATGCACACACATAGACATATCAGAAATGGCAGGAGCAGGGAAACAACGAGGAGGCAAGGAGACAGGCTGGAGTGCGGGCCCCCCCATCACCTTTCCCACTGGGGCTGCTCCCACCCATCCCGACTCCCACCCCATCCCTGGCTCACCACCACGAGGGTCCGGCTGGGCGCCTCCATTCCGGCGCCCTCAGTGCCTGGCCCTGCAGGCCTAGGGGGTGGCCCAAACTGCCCGTTCCCCCAGGGGGCTCAGGTTACAAGCAGAGTTGCTGCATGGGCAAACTGCTAGGGTATATTTAGCTCAGAGATGTGGCAAGGCCTGCTCCCCCACTCCCTGCCACCTACTGGGGGTCAGAGCTAGGGAGCTGAGAGGAGGAAGGACTGGAGGCTGGGGTCTGATCCTCTGGGGTGGCAAACACTGAAGGAACCAAGATTCTTTTCTGTCAAGAGGAGTTAGCTCTGAGCACAGCGTCATTCCTCCTATCACTGGCCCTGGCCCTGGCCCTGGCTGAGTCCTACAACAGGAGGGACGAGGAAAAGACTGAAGAAAGGACTTCCCGTCTGTCTGTGTGCTTAGAAGATGCTGGGATGAAGGGCTGCTTGTCTGACCCTCTCAAGTCAGGCCTGGGCTCACATGTGCCAAGTGTTGTGGAGACAGAAGAGGCAGAAAGGGCCTCACTCCACAATCTGCGGTGGGTCTGCCTGGCACCACCCTCTCTCTCCAGCCCAAGGGGGTGCGGGGGCTGACCTCCCTACTGTCTGCTCTCCTATGCCCTGCCCATTTCCTCTTTCGACATACTCCCTTTCCTTGTCTGATCCCAAGCCTCCCTCGCCTTTTTTGGGTACCAGGTTTGGTTGAGATGCTCTGTAGCCATAGCAACCACATGCGCCTCTCTGGCTGCCCCTCCCTGAGCCCGAGATGGCCTGGGGTTGAGAGTGAGAACAGAGGTGAGAATGGTATCTTCCCGACTGAGAAAAGAAGACCCCAGAAAGCTATCCAGTCTCCTTCAGCCAGGGGTGCTGGGCTACCCTCCTCTCTAAAACCAACGCCCTCCCGCCCTCGCCCCTTCCAACACACTTTCTCTCTGCGTATTCAAGAGCAGTCAGCTGGACGGGAGGAGGCGTTTCCTCGCCATACCTCACCAGGGCTCCAGGGACCCAAAGGACCTGGCTCCTCATCTCTTAGGCTCTGCCTCTACCCCCACGCTGTCACAGGTTCTGGGGGAGGACATGGAAGCAGACAGCCGGCAGGGGGAGTGGGTGACAGCCCGAAGCAAGCTAGGAGGAGGCAGGCCAGGCTGTCCCTGAATGAGATGACGCAGGCAGGCAGGCAGCAGGGGCTGGTGCCTGGGGCTGGGGGAGGGGCAGGGCGGGGGCTGAGGCAGTGGGCGCAGGCGGACAGTGTGTGCAGGAGAGGTCACGGGGGTAAGGGTGATGGGGTGGTTCCAGGCAGGTGACAAATGACATGGAGGAGGGTGCCTGGAGAAAAGCCTCCTAGCTAAACATACCAGCTCACCAATGCTGGTCTCCACCAACCAGCCACCTCCTTTCTCTCAGCCCAGCCTCCCCATTACCTGGCGGACAAAACTGTTGGATGTCGTATCTGAGGACGTGCTCCCATCCGACCTTTTGAACCGCCCTTTCCTCTTGCTGTATTTGCCCTGGGGAAGCCAGGAAGGGACAAGAGTGGAGTCAGAAAGGGCCGTTCCCAACCCTCATCCCATCAGGCCCAGAGCTCCAGCCAAGCTTTGGGAGTATCATTCCCTGATCTGAAGAGCCCCACCCCCCATCTTCTTCCAGAGATGGTACAGCCCGAGGGGGGGGGGCCAGACCACAGCCTTGGGGTGGGGGGACAGTGGGAGAGAACCTTAGAAAGCTCGCACAGAAACCCCCAAACCAAGCCAGAGAGGCTGGGAACAGGGAGGCGCTGAGAAGCTGGAGGCTCATTAGGCAGCAAAGCTAATTAAGATGCTGGGCAGGCTGCAGAGGCCTCCGGGGAAGGGAGAGGCTGCCTGCAGTGTGAGGGGGGCAGAGAGAGCTGGGGAAAGTCCCCCTCCCTTTCCCCCTCAGCTGGAGCAGAGGGGGGCCGAGTGTGCCCGTGGCCCCCAGGGTGAAGACGAATCGCCAACCTGGGCCCAGCTTGGCTTTTACCGTGCCCGAATCTTGCCTTGATTTTTTCCGCAGAGTGGGGAGGGGAGTGGCAGCTCTCAGTTCTTGGAGACCCAAAACCAGATTTCTGGGGAGGGGGCTAAGGGGGGCGGATGGAACTGTATTTGGAAAGGAAACATCTAACCCCAACCCAGCCCAGTGTCATGGGGGCAGATTTAGCAACACCTCCCCCACCCACCAACCCTGTCACGACTGTTTCTCAGCCCCCTCTTGATCATCGCAGTGATCACACCTCTCCCCAAGGGGGAGAGAGCTCAAGCTTCCACTCTCTAAACCCTGGCTGCCACTGTCCATGCCCGGTCCCCATGGTAACCACCAGGCTGCATCAATCTAAATGCCCCTTGGCCCTGCCCCAAGACAAGCCTAGGACACAGCCCCCACAAGTCCCTGGGGTAGGCTGGCTCAGCCTCACTGCCTGGGTTCCTGGCTTGGGTGGAGTGGACACTGCTTGACCTCTCGAGCAGCCACACATTCAGGTATTTCCAGGCCTCCTGTCAAGAGGGCTCATCCTTGCCCTCCCTAACTTACATACACACTTGGCCCCAGGCCAGTTCAGAGTCATGGGGAGGGGAATGATGGAGGGTTCAGGCCCTCCAAGCCCTTGCCCCCAGCCGCCATCCTAGAGTTTCTATGCCCAAGGAGCTAGATAAGACATGATCAGACTAGGGGCTCTGGTTCCTTGGGCCTGAGTACAAGAAGGAGCATGGATAGATGGGAGAGAAAGGTACCTGGGAACCCTTCAAAAATCCTCCCTCCCAACCCCTTCTCTCAAACCAAACACATCCCAACCTCTAGGATTGAGGATCCCTACAAACTTAAGAGGATCCTCCAGTGAGCCCCAGACTCTCTTTCACACCACCACCACCACCCCAGGATGGGAAAAGGGAGTGGCACCCAGAGAGACAAGGGACAGCTGAAAGGAAGGCCCCAGTCAGCTGCCTCCCAGGCTCCAAGGGGCCTGGGGTGGAGAAGGGAGGTATTTTTAGGTCTAACCTGACCCCCCCCCCCCCACATGCCCATCAACCACATTTTCATGGTGGTTACAGTTGCTCCAGGCTGGTCACAGCAAGAAAAGAGTTAATGGTATCCTAGCCTCGGGGTATTGCCAGACTGGAGAATGGCCTTGTCCCAGAAAAATCTCTTGGCACGACCACCCTAGACCCTGACCAGTCACCCCAGACCCTGCTGGTCACTCCGTGGGCACGCACCACACCCAAGAACGCCCCTTCCTGGGGATAACCCGGGGTACCGCAAAAGTGTGACTGGGGGTGGGGTGGCAGACACCCCCCAACCCCCAGGTAACACAGCTTCCTCCCCTCCAGGACAGTGAGTTGGCATCCATACAACTTTCCAAACTTTGGAGGCGTTTTCTAAGGCTGGGGAGGGGAAGGGGGTGGAGAAGGAAAGATAACGTGGGTGTTGGGGGAGGGAAGGTGGTCCAATATGAGGATGTAGCTGAGGTGCCAGGATGGGGGCCTAGCCTGGGGCCGGCCCCTTCCCCACCCTCGAAAGGCCAGTGTCTGCGGCTCCGAAGGCCTGCTGGCACCGCCCTGACCACCGCCTCGGCCATCTCCCAGGGCCACCCCCGCCTGGCGCCCCCGAGCGTGCGTCGCCCCCTTTGCCTGAGCTCGCTCTCGAGCCTCCCTCAACCCCCGGATGCCCCGCCAGCTCCCCCACTCTCCAGCCCTGGAGCAGGGACCCTGACGCGGGGGAGCCGAGGCGAGGGTGACAGGCGGCCCGACCGCCCCCTCCCGGCTCCGCCAAACCGCAGCCCAACTCCCGGCCAAGCGCCCATCAATCATTAACCGGCAGGGACTGGGGGCGCACAGGCGCCCCTCCGCGCCGGGCGCCGGGCACCTAACTCCTTCTTCCCCGCGAACCTCGAGCCGACCCCACAAGGTCCGCGGGAGCGGCCCCCTGCCCTCGGGCCCGGCCACCACACCTCACCTGCGGGCTGGGGTCGAAGACCTCCATGGGGATCTCCTGGGAGGGTGGGTAAGGGCTCCGGGACATGCTGGTCTTCTGGACCATGGAGAGGAGCCTCCCCTCCGGCTGCCGGCCCGGCCCAGCCGGGCGCCCTCAGCGAATGAGAGAGGCCGTCGGAACCGAGAGCCGCGCAGCGCAGCCGGCACCCGCTCCAGCCACCTGGCCCGGCCTTCGGCTGCCCTCTTCCTGCCTCGCGTCCCTCCTCCCGCTCTCTCCTCTGCCGCCGCCGCCTCCTCCGCCCCTGAAGGCTCAGCATCTCCCCCCGCCCCCTCCGCTCCCACCTGCCCCTCCCTCCGCCCTCCCTCCCTCCCTCCCTCCGCCCGCCCCGGCCCCGCCCCTCGCAGCCCCTCCGCGGGCTCCGCACAGACAATGGGAGGGCGGCCGGAGGGAGGCACGCCCCTCCTGGCTCTGGAGAAGGCTGAGCGCCGGCCTCTGACTGGCCTGGGGTGAGGGCGGCCCACTCTGAGTCGGGGGGGCGGGAACGGGGGGGAAGTGAAGCCCGGCCTTGGGGCAGGGGGCGGGAGCCGCGGTTTACCAGTGGAGGCAGAGCGCTGATGGAGGTGAAGCGCGGTTTGGCACGCCCCCTCCCCTTCCGTCCCAAACCGCTCTCCCTTCGCGGGTCTGCTCGTTCCACTCCAGTTTGGGCCGCCGGAACTTCCCGATCCCGTTGATCCTGGGACCCGGCTTTAACTCCTTTCTCCCCGGTGTGGGCTCAGGCTGCCTTGAACCAAACAGAAAGGCCCCTCTCCCTGCAACAGGACGATGCTCTCCGGAGGTGGAGGCTGAGTCTGAGACCGAGGCTGGGGTGATGAGAATGTCCAAAGGGAGCCCCAACACAGCAACAAGAAATCCCGGGGACCCAGGAGGCTTTATGCCTTTGTCCTTCGTATCCCCCCAGGCCCTTCCAGAAGGCAAGGTCCCCGTTTCTTGGAAGAGAGAGGAAAGAGGAGGAAGAAATGTGGAGCTGAGAGAGTGGCTAAAATCAGATCTACTGCCTTTTGACCTTGAATTGCTCCCCCTTCATCCTTGATTTGGGGACAAATACCCAAGGCCTGGATCCCACCCACCACAACCTATGGAGGGAAAAGGAATTAGGGAGTCTGGCAAAAACTCTGGTATTGGGCACCTGCCTGTCTCAGTCCTCAGAGCATGTGACTCTTGATCTCAGGGAGGTGAGTTTGAGCCCCACCTTGGACATAGAGATAAGTTAAAAACAACAACAATTCTGGTGTCAGTTTGGCTCAGGCTCTTTCGGCCCTGGACAAGTCACTACACTTCTGTAAAATGGGGTTGCCAGTACTGTAGTGTCTTTGTCACCTGGGATTATTAGGAGGATGAGGGAGAATGAAATCAAATGATGGACTGCTCAGGTGTTTGGAGATGCTATAAGGCGCTGAACAAAGGTCTCTCATGGCAGGAGGAACTGTTACTTCCCTACCGCTTCCCCTGCTCCTCAAAGAGGGGAGATGAGAAGTAGAATGGACAAGATTTGCCCAGGTTCAGTTACCCTAACATAAAGCCCAGCCTGCTGTCTCCTGCTAGAGGAGAGACTGTGGAATACACTGACTCCTTCTCCTCACCCTGGGTTCTACAAGTGGATGGCCAGCTTATGTTGTTTCTCTGATCATATTACTTGGAGGGAGAGTAAGAATGAAGTACATCAGCACTGTGCTATGAACAGATCCAACCCTGAATAGGGTTTCAATCTGTCCCTTGGGCACAAGAGAGCCTGGTATGACAGAAAAGGCGTGGATATTGAAGTCAGAAAGACCTGGATTTTCAATTTCTGCTACCTCAGCTGTAAAATGAAGATGACACTATCCATGTTGTTTTGAAGAAGTGGCATGAATTTTGCCTTGCTTCCCCTCCTCTCTTTCCTGAGCTCCATTTAGCAACCAGGAAAGTTCAGATGATAGAGATCCGTACTCAGCCAGAGCCAAGCAAGGAGACAGAGCCAGGACTCAGATCTAGATTTCTTGAACCCCAGAATATTCTCTTTGGGTTTTTGCATTGGGTGTTTCAGAGCAGGAGAAAAGAACTACGGATGACCCTATCATTCCATTTTTTTCCTAACTTTCACAACTATTCCTTCAGTCAGCCAATGCACTATTTCTCAAATGCTTACTATACGCAAAGCTCCATGCCTCCTGTGGTGCCTACAGCGAGAACCAAACAAGACTGGTTCCTGTCACCAAGGAGTTTGTCTTAATATCCTCCTTTGCAAATTAATTCACGTGGTTTTCACAACGGATGACAGGAATATTAGGGTTAGGTACACTTTACAAAGGAGCAAACTGAAGCGCTACGAGATTAAGGACCACAGTGGCACAAAAACTGCTATGTTTGGTGATCTCTCCTGTGCTGCAGGGGTTCCCAACGTACGGGGAGAGTGAATAAAAGGTTGCTCTTGACAGATATCTCCCCACGTTGTCTTCTCTCACTCCATTCGCTAATATTTTTTCGCTAAGAAAACATCCTCCAGAGAACCCAGGACGCCGGCAAAAAGTAGGCCACTCTAGCAAAACTACGCGCCGCCTGCGCCGTCAGCCGTGACTTCCGGCTTCCACTACCCACGTGATCAGGTACCCTTGCTGCGCATGCCTAGTAGGAAGTCGGACTATACCACTTTGCCTCACTGAAAGGATCTATTTTTTATGTTTTTAAGTTTAAAACCGATTTCCTAGATTAGGCTTCTATTCTCTAGGTCTTCACAGAGGGCAAGAGTAAGTTCAGTGTGGCAGAGGATGCAAGGACGGGCGGGGAATACGGGCCAAAGCGGAGCAGGGGATGGGCTCTCCCCTTCACAGATAATGGGAGGAGCCCGGCCGGGGGCAGTTCTTTCCTTTCGGCGCTGCGGCCGCAGCCATGAGGTGAGGGCGTGCGGGCCTCTGATTTTGCTTGATTCGACGTGCTGGCGGGCGGCAGGGCTTGCTTCCGTGGCCCCGGGTGGGAGAGATGAGGTGGAGGCAGTCCTGAAGCAGCCGGTCCCGGAGCTTGGGGTGGGCCGGAGCGCACCAGGCCCCGGCCTCGCGGGGATGGGGGGTGGCGGCCCGAGGACGCGAGGCCGCGGGAAGGGGGGGCCCCTGCCCCATATGGGTCGCGAGCGACTTTTACGCGGACAGTGGAAGGGCCGCGGCGGGGTCTAGGCTGTGGCCCCCTTACTCGCTGGGCGCCCCGGATCGGAGCCGAGCTGTGCTTCCATGTGACGTAGGACAGGTCTCGCGTAGGCCTCGGGCCTCAGACTGCTTAGAGTGGGGCGATCACTAGCACTTTAACGCTTTCCGCCCCGTGGACGGTTCCTAAGAAAACTCTGAGGCTAGCGGAACGTTCAGTCTTATTACTGTGATTAAGACAAGGGAGGCGGGCCCAAGAAGCAAAGGACTGGACGAGCGAATCAGACCCTTTGGCCTCGGATTCTTAGACGCCTGTTTTTAGAGTTTGGTACCAGAAAGGGCATAAGCCCCCTCTTCATCCCAGTTTTATCCGTTAACCTCATTTTCCAGAGGAGAAAACTGAGGCAGAGAAGTTAAGGCATAGCTTGGACTTTGCTCTCGTTCCAAGGTGGCCAGTTGCTCTTGCAGGAATGCACAGCACAAAAATCTTGCTAGAGAAATGATTCTTAATATGGGGGGTGAGGGGGCGGGATGTTGCCCTAAATACTGAGTGCTTACACACATCCAATTCCCGTGTTTTATGTTTCACAACATTAAAAGATTGGAAGGGAAGTCTTGCTGGGGAATGGCTTCCAGGGCTTGATAATGTTTTCTGTTTGTCACAGCATGCTCAGGCTTCAGAAGAGGCTTGCCTCCAGTGTCCTCCGCTGCGGCAAAAAGAAGGTCTGGTTGGACCCCAACGAGACCAATGAAATTGCCAATGCCAACTCCCGTGAGTTCTTGGGATCTTTTTCACCCTACCCCTTTCTCATCCTTCATGAGATGGAAGATGTCACGATTTTGACTCTCAACAAAGCTAGGAAAGCTCATAGTCTGGGGTCTTCTAAAATGGAGGGTCCCAGAAATATGGAGATACCAGAGGTTCTCTGTCATTTTGGCAAATGACAGGATGGGAGTTAATGGAACAACCCAGTGTTGTATTAATGATTACTGCTAACGTGGGTATTGTTTTATAACTACGTGAAGGATTTATGAGGACAGTACAGGGACTGGGAGTAAAGATGGCCAAGGAAATGATGAAGGATGGATTGGGAAGCCCTGGGACCTCAGGCTTTAGGAAAGGCCTCTTGGCATATAATTCAGGGCAGTAAAACAGTTGTCAGTCGTGCAGATAGCAACATATCCACATTACTTCCATGTGATATTGTTACAGAAAAAGGTGTTCAGTCATCCTCGTTAAAGATAGTAAGGTGGGCTTTATTCAGGACCATTGCTGCAAGTGTAGGGACAACTGCAGTGGGATTTTACAGTGAGGGGTGGGGATTGCACTCAAGTCTGAACGTAGCATGGGCAAGTAGGAATTTATGGCCAAGGTGGGTGGTATGAGGGTCAGTGGTTGGAAGATGACTAAGGAAACCCTAATGGTAAGGGGCTGTGGGCAGGGGGGTGGATTCTGGCTAGACTGACCAAACAGGATTGTTGCTAAAGACAGGCCGGGGTGATCAGACATCACCTGGGGAATGTTGGGGGTTGGGGAACCCGATCTTATATCAAGGGTGGGGGCTTGTGCTTAAACTGACTTAAGCAGGGTTCTTAGAAAGACTAGAATTTACAAGGACGTGCACAGGTGGGCCTAGGAGGTGGTTCAGGAGGCTGATGAAAGTTTGGTCAAGCAAAGAGTGTTGGTCAGTATCAGAGATTTTTTTTTTTTTTTTTTTAAGATTTTATTTATTCATTTGACAGAGCACAAGTAGGCAGAGCGACAGGCAGAGGAAGGAGGAGAAGCAGGCACCTCACTGAGCAGGGAGCCCAGTGTGGGGCTCAATCCCAGGACCCTGGGATCATGACCTGAGCTGAAGGCAGACGCTTAACTGACTGAGCCACCTAGGTGCCCTACTATCAGGGAATTTCTTTTTTTTTTTTTTTAAATAAAGATTTTTATTTATTTATATAGAGAGAGAATGGTAGAGAGCATGAGAGGGAAGGAGGTCAGAGGGAGAAGCAGACTCCCTGCTGAGCAGGGAGCCTGATGCGGGACTCGATCCCGGGACTCCAGGATCATGACCTGAGCCGAAGGCAGTCGCTTAACCAACTGAGCCACCCAGGCACCCTATCAGGGAATTTCTTAACCAGTTTGAATTTGTGGCATTGTGATGTGTGCTCAGAATATCATAACCTTGTTTTAGACCAGTAGCTAATAGGTGAGACAGGATCTGGAGGACTAGGCCATATCTGTACACTCGTGATCTCACATCCTCAAATACATATAATTTGAGTGTGCTGTAAAGCATTTAGAAAAATAGAACGAAAGTTTTTTTTTTTTTTAAGATTTTATTTATTTATTTGACAGAGAGACAGCGAGAGGGAACACAAGCAGGGGGAGTGGGAGAGGGAGAAACAGGCCTCCCGCGGAGCAGGGAGCCAGATGCGGGGCTCGATCCCAGGACCCTAGGATTATGACCTGAGCCAAAGGCAGACGCCTAACTGTCTGAGCTACCCAGGCGCCCGTTTTTTTTTTGTTGTTTTTTAACAAAAGAGAAATAAGCAGAAGTTCCAATATTTGTACCATTTTTGAGACCACTGGGTCAGGGATGTGAGCAATGTCTTTGGCCTGGCCTGTTTGGACTCTGGGTTATGACTGGTGTTTTGGGGCTAGGCCCCACCTCACTGACTAGATGCATCATCTTTTCCCAGGTCAGCAGATCCGAAAACTGATCAAAGATGGGCTGATCATCCGGAAGCCTGTGACTGTTCATTCCCGGGCTCGGTGCCGTAAAAACACTTTGGCCCGCCGGAAGGGCAGACATATGGGCATTGGTAAGTGTGTTCTTCCCTTTTCTCTGAGACTTAAATTAGAGTTGCCTAAGTCTAGACTGGGATATATCCAGGATCTTTTTCTTTCCATTTTGTCTCCTTGTAAGCCCTTTTCTTACTCCATGATGTTAGATGTGTTTTCTCTGTGTGCAACTCAAAGCTGACGCTAGTGTTGGAGTTGAAGGTATTGGTAGAAAAAGGTCACACTTATTGAGCACCGACACTGAGCCAAGGATTCTACTGGGTACTTGAAAATATGGTCCAATAAATCCTAAAACCACTTTCTAGGGTTAGGATGATTTAGGGAGATGAAGGTCATAGCTCCTTTAAAGCCCCTTCCAGCTTACCATACTGCCTTGGTGCACACCCTGTCCTTTACACATTCTGCAGAAAGTGGGGAATAATTGCCTTGTTGGTGCTTCCTTAAAATGAATAAATGAAAGAAATGCTTAGGGTCATCATCATAAAATGAAAGCAATGCTATGAAAATGAGGTCAAGCCCTTGGCCCATGACTGAGTGAATTGTCAAGTGTTGAAGAAACTGGCAGCTGTCCCTCAGACCCAGAGGCACAACAGTGGGCTTGACCCCCCTTCCCTGCAGGTAAGAGAAAAGGTACTGCCAATGCTCGGATGCCTGAGAAGGTCACCTGGATGAGGAGGATGAGAATTCTGCGCCGGCTGCTCAGAAGATACCGTGAATCTAAGAAGATCGACCGCCACATGTAAGCACACCCTCTTCTTGTGGCCATTAAGACCCATTTGGTGCTTTGACAGCTTGTTCTCTGCACAGACTCACATCTGTCTCATTGGCCTTGGGGAGGGAGCCATGTGTCTTAGGCCTTTCAAAGAAAGTTCTTCCATTGTCATCTGTCCCGTGTCCCGTCCCCCCTCCCACCCCCCCACCCCCGGCCATGTGCAACATTAGGATAGCCCAAGAATTGAACTTCACCTGCCAGGCAAGCTGTTCTGTCTGGAAATTGCACAAAAAGTCTTGGTTTGGGGGAAGCCGTCCCTGCAGAGGAGAGGAACCCTGCGCACTTAGGGACCTTACGTAGAGGGGCAGATGCCGGGCCAGCCTCTGCCCCCAGTACTGACCGAAGCCTCTGCGCCTTCTACCCTGCAGGTACCACAGCCTGTACCTGAAAGTGAAGGGGAACGTGTTCAAGAACAAGCGGATTCTCATGGAACACATCCACAAGCTGAAGGCTGACAAGGCTCGCAAGAAGCTTCTGGCGTAAGTTTTTTCAGGAATCGGCTTCTGTCACAGGGGCAGGTTCTTTGATCTTTATCATAAGGGTTCTTCTGAGACCTTTAAAAATACGCTAATGCCTGATTTTTGACTTGCACACAGTCTGTCCAGAAAACAGCTGTTGCATTAGAAATACATGCTCCCCTGTTCCGAGCACCACCTACCGTCATTGCAGGGTGGGGACTGGGGCTTAGTTGAAGCAGAACTTGTAGTGGCCCTGGTGACTCATTTCCTAAGCTGACTAGGCTCAGAGGGAGAGGTCTGGGCGCGTTCTGTCTCCCCAGCAGCTCATTTATTCTCAAACTGACCCATCTTTCCATCATCCAGTGACCAGGCTGAGGCCCGCAGATCTAAGACCAAGGAGGCTCGCAAGCGCCGTGAAGAGCGGCTCCAGGCCAAGAAGGAGGAAATCATCAAGACTCTGTCCAAGGAGGAAGAGACAAAGAAATAAAACTCCCTCTCTTTTGTCTGTACATAAAGGCCTCGGCAGTAACACAGATCAGTTACTCAATAAAACCAACCTTTATCTGCTTCTCTCTGCTTCCGAAGTTTCTGGCTGCTTGGTGGGCCTTCACTATTGAGAGGATCAGAACTGAGTGCACACTGAGGATTGGGGTGCAGGCCCTTTGCAGGGTGCCTGTTCATTTCTTCCTTGGCTCCTGGCCTCTGGTTGTGCTGTGTCCATCCATGGGAGAGATGGGGTTTCTTACCTGGTTTTAGTTGGGTGTAGGGCCTGATCTGAAGGGAGGGAAAGAATGGCTTCTACTCAAGTCTCCAAGAGCCTGTGCTTCAAAACTGCCTTTCAGGGGTGCCTGGATGGCTCATTTGGTTAAGGCAGATGCCTTTGGCCCAGGTCATGATCCCAGGGCTCCCTGCTCAGTGGGGAGTCTGCTTCTGCCTCTGCCCCTTGCCCCTCTCATGCACTCGTGTGTGCTCTCTCCTCTCCCAAAATCTTTAAAAAAAAAAAAAAACTGCCCTGGGCGCGTGGGTGGCTCAGTCGGTTAAGTGTCTGCCTTCACTCAGGTCATGATCCCGCATCAGGCTCCTTGCTCTGCGGGGTGCCTGCTTCTCCCTCTCCTCCCCACTTGTGCTCTCTCACTATCTCTGTCTCGCTCTCTCTCAAATCTAAAAAAAAAATTTAAAAAACTGCCCTTCACAGAAGAAAGTGGGTAACAGGTCAAAAGTGGTCCCAAATGTTGGCTGGGAAACAAGTTCAGTTGTCACATTGTTTAAAAAGCATCAGGATAGGGCGCCTGGGTGGCTCAGTTGGTTAAGCGACTGCCTTCGGCTCAGGTCATGATCCTGGAGTTCCTGGATCGAGTCCCGCATCGGGCTCCCTGCTCGGCAAGGAGCCTGCTTCTCCCTCTGGCCCTCTCCCCTCTCATGTACTCTCTCTCTCTCTCTCTCTCTCTCATTCTCGCTCTCAAATAAATAAATCTTTAAAAAAAAAAAAAGCATCAGGATACTAATGCATGTATTTCTCAGCTGTCCACTGGGGTCCGGGGTTGAAGGACTGGACTTAATAGCCAACCCCTCCTTAAGCTGCACAAATGGCCTTGAGGTCTTTTGAGCATCCCAATTTCTAGACCTCTTTTCTTTCCTACCAAGAGAGATTTTTAGGAGTTCCTCGTTGCCTTAGAAGAACGTGGCTCAGGTCATGATCCCAAGGTCCTGGGGTCAGGCCACCTCAGGCTCCCTGCTCAGTAGGGAGCCTGCTTCTCCTTCTTTGCTCCTCTCCCCGGCTCGTGTTCTCTCTTGCTTTGCACTCTCAAAATCTTTAAAAAAAAAAACAAGCACCCAGTCTTGGGGTTCTGAGTTTTAGCCCCAGGTTGGGTGTAGAGATTACTAAAAAACTTTTAAATGTTTTTTTGGTTTATATCCATCACATAGGGCACAAATTGGAATAAACACTTGTCAAAGCCATTGTGAGTTGCTTACAAACAGGAGTAAGTTTTATTTTGCCACTTGGCCGGTAGAAGTGACGGCCAATACATGCCTCAGTGAGGGATCTGCTCTTCGAGCCACGTACTGTGAGGCACTTTACACTGACATCGGTTCTCTAATCCTCATTATAAAGTAGGGTTCTCCATTTGGTAGATGCGGGAAGCAGTGAAATGAGCTGGGTTTGCACAGCACACATGCTGGGGACGGGAAAATGGATTCAAGATGTTTAAGAAGTAAAATAGGACTTGGTAGACATTGTGGGGGCTGAGGAAAAAGTGGCTTGTCCCCAGGCCCCAAGCTTTAGGGGGGACTGGGCGGGTGACGCCTTTGGTGATAAGGAAGCAACTGGATTAGGGAGAGTGGCTGGAAGAGCTTTGGCTCTAGTGAGTGGGTGGCAGTTTGAAGGACAGATGCCCAGGTGGGAGGTGTCAGTCAGCCAGTTAAATACAGCAGTGTCAGAGGTCTGGGTTGGGGAGAAAAGTGGCAGAGAAGGGGCCCCCTCCTTTAATCCTCAGCATAGCTAGGAGGCATGCCTGCCCTGGTTTCCTCCCTGCCCTCCGCCCCTCTCCTGAGAAGCAATGTGAAGGCCAGTTGGGGCCTTCAGGGGATGTGCCGGGCAGATGTTCCCATGTGCACTTGGCATGGGAAAGACAGGACTGATGTGTTCTTGGGGAGAGCGGTCCTCACTCCTACTCTGCCCTTAGTGTCCTCGTCCAGTCCAGACAGGGTGGGGCAGGTGGGTAGCCCAAGGCAGGGTAGCCCAGACTCAGAAATATCTAGAGGATCTTCACCACCGCCCATGTGCATCCGAACCTGATTTTTGGGTTCCCTGTGGCCACTGTAGCAACGTGTGAACTTGATCCTTGAGCTCCTGCTGTAATCCTTCCTCCGACCCCGGGGGCGGGAGGCTGTGGCCTAGGAGAGGAAGGACCTTGGCCAAGCTTCCAGCTTGGATCATGGGACACCTCCTTCCCAAGCGTGGCTGGACCACAAAAGGAAGAGCACTGAAGGCCACCCCCCCTTCCACTCCCCTCATGCCCCCCACCCTCCGGCCCGGGGCAGTGGAGGGATGACAGGAAGGAGAAAAAGGTTAGCGTGGGAACGCTCCGCCCGGGCTTCCTGAGCTTGCAACTCGAAGCCGGTTGCCCTCTGGACCAGGAGATGGCGCTGTTCTCTCGCAGGTTGCTGCAGGGGTAGGAAGCGGCCTCACTTTCAGGGTTGTTTTGGAAGGAGTTGGGGTGGGAGAGAAGGGTTCTGGGTTGTGGAAGCCTATCTCTTGGGTTTAGTCACTTCTTTCTGGAGCTCACCCCAAGCCTGGAGGTTACTTCTTTTTACCATGGCTTCCAACGCCGTCCCAGGGCAGGGCCGGGAGCGCCCCCTTAGCAGGCAGATCCCCTAAAGTAACCGCTGGATCTCTTCTAGGTCCAGGAGCCTAGGGAAATTCCGATGGGAAGATAGATCCATCCTCTCAAGATCATACAACTGATCCCACCACATAGTTCTGCATATCGTTTAAAGGGGCTCGTGGCCCTCAGGTAAAGCCTCCCTGAGCAAGTCCAATTCCATTTCTTGGGGAGGAAACTGAGGCCTGGAGAAGCCAACGACTCCCCAGAATCTCAGCATGGCGTGAACACTAGCACCTACCTTTGACCCTCCCGACGGGGGAGGGTGTGATTCAGAGTAGACAGCCGCAGAGGTAGCACGCACAGCTGCTGTAGGGCCACGAGCAGGAGGGGGCCAGGGTCCTTGGTCCCCTTCCCGGGACTCTCTCCGAGGCTCAGAGAGAGAGACCCTCCAGGCTAGCTCCCTGCCAGCACAGGGAGGGCAGAGGTTGCCTCCCTTGCCCTCCTCAGTAGAGGTCCCCACCCTGTCCCAAGCGTCGGGGTGGAGGGTGACAAGGATGGGGCGTGAAGAAGGTTGACAAGGCCAAATGTAGTGGGACTAGCGAGATGGGTGAGGTTGCACAGAGGGGCTCACTCCGTCTGTGTCTCCCCCCCCCCACCTCTGGTATCCATCTCTCCACCCTTTTAGGCCTCTTGTCTCTGGCTTCCAGACTCCCCCTCTTTTCGCATCTCCCCAAAGTCTATCCACATCTATGCCAGGTTAAGCTCAGGCTGAGGTGGAGGGAGGGAGGGAGGGCACGTGTGGGTCAGACAATAGAGCCAAATGGGGAGCTGGCACCGGCAGGTGCCTGGGCATCCTCTGCTCGAGGCCAGTGGTACTGCTGGCCCAGCCACCCACAGAATGGGCCCAGAGGAGGGCAGAGGCTCTGGCGGGGGCACCAGCTGTTCTCAGCCCCCAGGCTGTGGGCGTGCTGTTAGTGGTTCTGCTGCACTCAGCAGTGTGGCAAATGGGCCAGAGAGGAGGCGGGGGTCCAGGCCGGCTGCCGGCTGGTGGCAGGCACAAGTGGAGTGTGCAGAAAGCTTGGCTGAAAGGCTCTCACTCTCTCCAGTGGGTGGGCTTGTGATCCCTGGAGCCCCTGCCCCAGCGTCTTGGGGTGTCTCTGTTTCCCTCTTGTTGGTTTGAGGCACTGAGGGACCCAGGTCGGGAAAGAGCCAAACTGGGAGGCAAGAGAATGATTTCTGAAATTGTCTTGGTCACCAATTTGCTGGGTGACCTTGGGCAAGTTACTGGTCCACTCTGGGCCTCAGTGTCCCTATGTATAAAAGAGGCAAGGTGGGGCTGGATAAGCTGTAATAACTTTGAATATGCCACCTAATATCTCTGTGCCTCAGTTTCTTCATCTGTGAAAAGGGGAGAGCACGACTTTCCTCAGTGGGTTATCGAGGGGATTACATAAAGTTCCTGGCGTGGCTCTCCAGGCACAGCTGGTGCCTACTCAAGTGAGTTCCCCTCTCTTGAAGCCACTGGACTGGGTTTGTGACCCCTTTTTTCATCCCCACCGTCAGGGGTCCTAGAAAGGAGAGGTCATCTTCCTTCTCCCGCTCACCCACCGAGCTCCAGGGCCTTCCCTGGGTGAAGGGGCGCAAGGAAAGCTCAGCGTCTGGTCCTACCTGGCCGACCTTGCTTTGCGGGGTGAGGGGCCGCAAGGCAGGAGCGCTGGGTGCCGATCAGGAGGGGCAGCACCCCCCCCCCGCATTCTGGCGGCACCGGCGTGGCCCTGGCACCCCCGCAGCCCGCCTCGCTCTCCCTCTGCGCTCCCCTCTTCCTATAAATAGCACAGGACGTGCCTGCCTCGGCGATGACGCGGCCAGGCGGGCGGAGGGGGAAAGAGGCGGCTCCGCGGCGGAGCAGGTGGGCGGCGGGCACTGGTGCGGGAGGGGCGCTGCCGCCGGCCCCCTGCGTGCCAGGCTCTCCATGACGGGCGGCACTGAGTCATCTCCCCCAGTCATCTCGGGGGGGCCCCCTGTCGGCGACTGTCCGCGCCGCCTGCCTTCCTGCCTCGGGTCTGGGGGGCTGCGGGGGCGAGGCTGATCTCGGGTGGTTTCGGAGGCCACCGCCAGGTGCGCAGAAATGGTGCCGAGGCGCCAGCTGGGTGGCCGTCCCCCGCGGACGCACGTGTGCATCGAGCCAGACCGCAGCCGCACCGCACGCTCTCCCCTTCCAGCGTCCCGCAACATCCCACCCCACCCCACCCCTGCCCTGCTTTCCTCTCGAAATCCTCCCCAGATCCCCCATGTCAGGCTGCTGTGGGGGAAGGGAGCGGGGAGGCAGGGGGACCCCTGCAACGTCTGGGCCAAGCCCAGCGCCCCTCCTCTCAGAAATCCGCAAATTCTCCCACCTCCAGGCTTGTCTCCTTTTGGCACCTCCAGCCCCCGCCCCGCTCCTTGCACCTTTCCTTCCCCTCTCCCAAGCAGATACACAGAGCGGACAGATTGGGACAAGAAACATTTATTTAAGGGTCTGGGGGTTCAGCGATGCCCCAGCAGACCCGTCATGCAGCCTTATGTACAGTGGGCATTGGGCCCGCCCCTGGGATATTGCTGGGGGGGGCCCCGTGGCAGCAAACAGGGCAGTGTGGCTTGAGCCCCCTCCTAGGGGGACAAGTGGAGCCGGGGCCAGTGGGTAGGAGGATGTGTCCCTCCCCCTGTATGGGAGGGTGTGACTGTGCCCAGAATGGGGGCTGGCATTGGCTGGCACAATCTAGGGCACGAGAGGAGGCTCTGAGCTTGGAGGGAGAGGGAGCTTGGCACCAGAGAAAAGCAACCTGCGACAGAGGGGTCCTCCTCGTAGGTGCCCACCCCACCCCCAGGGTGCCTACCCCGTTCCTTTCCTGGTGGCCAAACAGAATGACGGGGCTACCTTGAGCATCTCCCACTCCCTCAGATACAGCCAGAAGAGGGACCCCTGCACTGAAGGGGGGGTCCCCGTGTTTCCTGCAAGGCCTAGAGGAAGGGGGTGTGGAAGGGCCATACGGAGGGGGGCCCTGAGGGTGGGGCTCCCAGGGTGTGCCTCATGAGACCTGGGACAGGAAGTAAGCACAGCTCCCCGGGCTGGCCAGCCCTGCCACCAGGGACCTCGAGAGAGTCCTGACAGTGACATGGGGGTTCTGACCAAGCACGGGCTCCGTCGGGCTTCTGTGGGCAGGCCGCTCCGGAGTGTCCTTCTCCAGGGGACAAGGGCACGATGAGGCTGCTCTGTGGTGACTGTTCTTGAGGAGACAGTCTCTGATTTACCCACGCTTTCCCTAGAACACGCCCCCTCCCTCCTCTGTCTGCCTGGGTTTCAAGTAAGGGAAGAGATTCCCGCAGAACTTTCCTGAGAATTGATGGAGTGACAGAGGTGGTGAAACCAGGAGGTGGACTCAGGATCCTCCTGCAGCCCTGAATCGCCTCCCAACCCCTGGCGGCAGGGGGCTGAGGGACTCGGGAAGGCACCTTCCCAAGGCCCCACTTCCTTCCAAAGGGGCAGCTGCAGGGTCACACACATAGACCCAACCAGGGGCTCTGTGGGGAGAGGGGGATGGTGTCGGGCATGCAAAGGTGGTGTGGACGTGGGAAGGCTCTCTGGACAAAGCAGCAGGAAAGTTCCCCAGGAACGCCCCCCTCCCCGGGGCTGCACTCAGCGTGGCAACTGGGGGTATCCGGGCATTGGCTGGACCTACCTGGAGCTTCCCCATTCCCTCCCACTTTCTCCTCCTTCCTCATGCCCAAGTCCCAGAGGAGCAACTCCCTCAGGGCACCTTGGGACCCAAGAAATAAAACCTTCCTCAGTGCAGAAGGCTCCCAAGGCCCGGGGAGTGGCCCCTAGGAGAGAGGCAGAGGGCAGAAGAGTGTGGGCAGATGCCTGTTCCCCTCCGGGGTCAGAAGCAAGGGCCAGGCATGGGCAGGGGTGGCATCTGGCTTCTCTTGGCTCCTCTCAGATCTCGGTCAGGGCATCGGCTGGCACCAAGCCCCGCTTCTTGCCGCTGCTGACGCGGATGAAGCCGTCAGCATCCTTGCTCCTGCCCGCGCCCACACAGATCTGAGTGGGAGAGACACGGAGCTGAGTCCTGGCTCTGCCTATAGCCGTGGCCCCAAGTCCTGCTGATGGCTCCCAGGGGGCCACCCCAGGGGATGATGGGACCAGGATCAGATGTGGTTGGAGACATCAGCTGGGGTGATGGGTGCAGATCCCCTGAGGGTAACTGGGCTCGGCAGTGAGATCAGGACATCAGCAGATGCTGAGCAGCTCTTCGGGGCTGACCTGTGAGATCAGCCGGCCGAACGCCCCGACTGAACTCCCATTTCACAGAGGAAGTAAGGGGAGGAAAGGGGCTTGCAGGAGCTTACACAACAAGCCAGAGGCATAGCCAACATTCAAACCCAAGCCTCCAGATTCCTCATCCAGTGCTCTTCCCCTCCCCCAAGCTGTCTCTAACCAAATTCAGCCCCCTGCCTTTGTTGGCCACCAGCCCCAATTCCCAGCAGATGACAGGAGGGCCCTGCAGCCCCACCTTTGAACCCGCCTTCCCTCCCACTGCCAGGCTGCAAATGTCCTCCTCCAGGGCATTCGCCGCTGCCCCTGCCGCCTCGCTCCCGTGCCCACCTCTCCGGCTGCTGCAGGGTCCAGGCACTCACCTGGTTCTCCTTGAGGCTCATGTACCCCTGTTCCTTGTGCCCAGAGAAGGGTTGGCAGCAGCGCCAAACGTTCTCACCTGGCCTGACTCGCTGCACAAAATTGGCTGGGAAGAAGCCAACCCGGTCGCCAATCTTGCCCTGGGGATGAGGCTGGCAATGAGCACCGGTGCCACCCCCTCCCACATTGCTTCCTCTAGACTTGATGCCCGTTCAGAGCCAATGCCATCAAACTCCAGATCCTGGGCTTCCTGTATCCGAACCCCCAGTAGGGTGGCTTCTGCACTGGGAAGGGTGTGAAGTGAGCAGAGGGACAAGGCTGAGGCAGGGAGGGTCAAAGCGAGAGCAAGTCCCAAGTGTTGGTCCTAGGCTTGGCGAGGGCCAGTGGCCGGAGGAGTGGGGGAGGTCTTTGGGCCTGGAGAGAAGGTGGGGCAACGGCCATTGAAGGTGGGGAATGGTGAGGTGCCTACCAGGGTCCCTCTGCTCCCCACCCTGCCAAGTCACCTTCCACCAGTCCTCGTTAGAGTCATCCACCAGCATGATCCGGTCCCCAGGCCTGGGAGGACAGAGCTGGGATCGCAAATGGGCAGGAGGGACCTGCCCTTTCCACATCTTAACCACCTAGGGCCCCCAGATCCCCAGCACGCCCCACCCCCCGCAGCTGGGGGAGGATTCTTGATGCCCTCAGAGGACACTGTGACCACAGGTACAGCAAACACTTTAGGGCAGAGCCCAGACCGGGGGCAGGAGATAGGACAGCGGCACCAATCCCTTTTGGACTCTGGGCAGTCCAGCTCCTCTCTGGGCTCAGCTGTCTCATGCATGCAGGAGAAGGTTCCTGAAGGTCCCCCTCACACTCATGTTCCAAGGTCTGGGAGCAGGGCCCTGAGCTTGGAGCCCGGTGGCTGCCCAGTGGGGCTGGGCCACAAAAAGGACTTACTGCAGAGCCAGGTCATTGTTCTCTTGGGGCAGGAACTTGTAGAGCGCGACGTAGGAGTACATGGGCCCCACGTCCTTTCGCAGAGGGGGCTTGGGGGGCTGTGGAAAAGCTCTGGGTCAGTGATGAGAGGGGGACACTCTTCTCGCTCCACCCACTGTTCACTGGCCCTGACCTGGCCTACCCTGGGGGAGCTAGGAGGTGGGACACAGTGCACCTGGGTCCGTGACAGGGAGAGGTCAGGTTCTCCTATCTTTCGTGTTCATCCTTGGGGGTCTGGGCCAAGGTTGGAGAAAGACAACTCTCCTCTGGTGGCTGCACCCCAGAACGGCCCACTCTTGGGGGGTGGGCACAGCAGACATTGGCTCAGTGGTGGGAGGGGTGGTACCCCCTGCCTTCCTTGTGTACTCACCCTGGCATTGCCCATCCCCGTAGACTGAGGATAAATGACGGAGCAGTGATACTCCCACTCACCATGCTCTCACCCACCTATGGATCAATGACAGGAAGAAGTGACATCCCCTTCCCATCTGGCCTCCCAGGGCTCAGTGCCAGCATAACCTCACCTGCTGTCTGGGGCTCTTCTCCTCCGGTCCTGACCCTTCACTCTCGGCCGGGGCTGTGAATACTAGAGATGCCAGGGCAGGGCCGGGCCGTGAGGCAGCAGGGAATGGCCTGCCCTGTGCTCTGTTCCTGCCCCTGGTCCCCACTGCCACTCACCACTGTCTCCAGGGCCCTCCTCTGAGCTGCGGATGCTGCCTTCCCCATCCTCAGTCAGCTCATCCCGCTCACTCTGGGGACAAAGGGGGAGGGCTCAGCTCCTGGACCCTCATCCTCAGGGACCCCTGCCCCCCAGGCTCCCCTTTGGTGCCTGACATACCAGGCTCCGCGTGGGGGACTCAGAGGTACTGCTGAAGCTGGAGCGGTTCATCAGCGCCAAGGAGGTGCCATAGCGCAGGGTCTCGTAGACGGGGTCTACCTTCCCGCTGGCTCCTGCCAAGGAGCCACCCTCAAGGTCGGGCACCCAGCTGCCAACCTTGCTCTGCCCCGAAGCGCTGCATCACTTTCACTCCCTCGGCCCCAGCCAAGACGTCCTTTCTTTAACTCCCTGCCCCCATCCCACCCCAGACCCCTCTCTGCCCACACCAGTCTTCACCAGATCCTGTTGGAATTACTCCTCATCCTTCGTATCTCTGGACGGCTTCCCTCTCCCTGCGGAGGAGGACCGTGCCGACTTTACTCTCTAGTCCCTATCCTTCTCGGTTCGGGCATTCATGAGGATGGTGATTAACTGACGATTTGTGTGATTAGTTCTTTCACGTCTAACTCCCTTACTAGACCATGAACTTCACCTTCTTCAGTGCCGTGTCCTCATGTCTATAGCACAATGCCTGGCACTAGTAAGTGTTCCATAAGATGTCTGTTCCATAAGATATGAATGAATGCATGCCCCTACATTCAGGCCAAGGGCATTCAGAGCAGGGAAGTGCCAAGGACTGGTGGTGTCACGTGACTCAGGTGCCTATCTGACGAATGTGTGGGTTTCTCATCACACCCCAGCAGGATCAGGGGCCATGGGGGGACACTCACCAGTGGGTGGGGACTCTCTGCTTGTGACACAGGCTGGGGGTGGCTCATGCACCAGGAGCGGGGAGCTGAAGTTGCGGCGGAAGGAGGACTATGGCAAGAGGGAGCAGAGAGAAGGGCATGAGGGTGTCACAGCCCGCCAAGAGCTTGTCCTTCCCCAAGCCCCAGGACCACCCCACAGGAGGAACCAGCCTGGAGTGGGGCAATCATCCCCCCCCCCGGCCAGTTGTGGGGGGGCACCCACAGCCAGTGAGCCCTGCATGGTCCCCACTCACCGCCTTGCCAGGGCACGGCTGGCGGGAGACCTCCTCAGAGCACCAGAGGTGGACACTCACTTTGCATGCCTTACACCGCAAACCCTGCTTGGAGTTTCCTGGGAAGAATTTGGGTTCAACAAGAAGGATTAGGCAAAAGAGGATACATCCAGGAGCAAGGAGCAAAGGGGGCAGGTTAGGGCATCGGTGGGAGAAAGGGGTTGGGCATCCTCACTTCGGCCTGGGGGCCTAGGGCCTCCCCCTCCCCCTCATACACTTGCCGTGTCAGCCGAAGCCTGAGCCGTTAGTAAATGCAGCGACACTGGGCACCCGCCCACCCCAAGGCTGCTCATTTGTCCACCCAGGGTGAGGGGCCCAGTTAGGATGGAGGGCCCTGAATAGCAAGAGTCCAACATCGGGCATACTCCCCACCCCCACCCTGACCTCTCTCCTTGACCCCCCCCCCCAGGCACCTACCCACGATGAGCTGGTGGCAGAGCTCACAGGGGCTGGCTCTCTTGAAGACATGTTCCTGGAAGCTGTGCAGTCTTACTGGTTTGAGTGATGCCAGGGGCCGTGGGATGGGGCAGGGGGAGGGGGCCGGGGTCGGGAGGCCCCCGTCTGTAGATGCCGATGGTGGGGAGGGAGGGGGCAGCGGGGTTGGGGGGGTCAGCAGCACCTCAGTGGGGCACTTGAGCTCAGAGCCCGAGCGAAGGAAGAAGTTCTCCACACTCTTACTTCGGAGGATGGTCTTGAGGGAAAGCGAGCGCTTGAACCGCTGCAGCTGAGAGAGGAAGTGGGGCTGTAAGTGAAAGCCAGAGGGGACTGGCTCCGGGCCAGGATATCTCCTTGGTCAGCCGTAACCTCGAAGTACTAAGACAGAAGCTGCCCTGTTCCAGAAGGTGGTCCCAATCCCAGATGCCGACAGGAGCCAGGTGGGTAACGTCCATGAGCAGAGGAGTTCTGGCTGGGCAGGCACAGTTGGGAGTGGTGAGCACTGTGACAGGCTGGGTGGCCAGAAAGCAGCTGCTGGGGTCCCCTGGACAACCGGGGCTAGTCCACACGGCCAGCCCAGTGGCACCAGGCTTTCCAATTTTTTCCAAAAAAAATCTAGACTTTTCTGTGAATTTGGATAGAAATAAATTCAAGAGGTTGTATTTCCTTTTTTTTTCCATTGCAGAAATGGTAGTGTACTATGTTTCCTACACCTTGCTTTTTTCACTTAACAGTAAATCTTGGAAATCATTCCATACCAACACATAAAGAGTTTCATCATTCTTGTTTATGGCTACACAGGATTTCATCGTATGGGTGTACTATTTACTCGAGTTAAACAAAATAATACTTTGGGGGCCGAACAAACACACGAGGTCCCCAGTTTTCCACCTGTGTTCTCAAACAGGCTGGGAGTGGGGGAGGGGTCATCCCGGACCCTCATCCTCAGGGCTGATTCTTCCTCCAAAATCGCTCTCCGGCCCATCCCCTATAATCACCTCATCACCTCCACAGCCCTGCCCCGGTTCAGGGCCACAACCCCTTGCCTCCACCCTGCCCATCTCCCCCTGCTTTCCCTACAGCTGCCAGGGAGGTGATCCCTGACCTGGCTAAATGCTTGGCTCCTCAGGACACAGCCAAGACCCTTGCCCCAGTCGTGAGACTCTGCAGCTTGGCCAAGGCTTCCCTTCCAATCCATGCCTTCCGCCTGCCGCCCAGACATAGGGATTCTCGAACTCATCCGTGTTTATTCCTCTGGGCTTTCCCCGCCCCCACCCCGGCCTTTTTTGATGTGCTTGTCCTTTTCTCTGCCTCATCCAATGAATACCCCCTTTATCCTTCAGGGTTTCCAGTGACTGTTCCTCCTCCGGGAAGCGGTCTCTTCTTCTGCAGGAATTCCGTTTAGTATAACCACTCCCTCCTCTGGGCCCCACTGCACCCAGTACTGACTTCCATTATAGATCCAATCTGGTTTACGTTGTCATTTACTTCTTACTCCCCCAGGAGCCCGGAGCCCCTCGAGGGCAGGGACAGTTGAATCAAATCCCCACACAGAGCCCCAAGACATAGTAGGTGCTCAGTCAATATTTGTTGATTAAATGATGGGCAAGCGCCTGGAATCCGAAATGGAGCCCATGTTCTGGAATGCTGGGTCAGTTCTGCACTGACGCCAGAGTTCCTTCCATTGCTCACCCCAACACATCCTTCTCGGGGTCTGCCCAGAGTGAGGTCTGGAAACATCTCTATTCAGATCCTTGAACCTCTTCCCCCCTGGTGAGAGCCCCTTTACCCCTGCCCACTCCTTCCCAGCAGTGATCGGTAAAGAGGGCCAGAGGCCTGGCTTCAGGCAGGGAGAAGTGGTCGGGGTTCCCAGCTGGCACATCAAGCAGCCTGTGTGACCGCAGGGAGGCCAGCAGGCAGCAAAACATGGGAAGAAGCAGAGAGGGAAAGGGAGACGTTTGGGCACGAGGCAGGCCCTGGTGTGCTGGCTGGGAGGCCAGAGCCTTGGGGTTTCTGGCACGCTGAGTTGCCCAGCTCCTTCCAAATTCAGCTTCCTGTGTGGCACTGTGGGCTTCTTTGTGTGTGAGAAGCAGGGCCCAAGGCCCCAGGCCCCAGATCCCTGGGTGTTAGGGCAGAGGCGGAGGGCCACAGGGACAATTCATTAGAACACAAAGGCATTCTATGAGCCAGTGTGGCTCCGGGGGCTCTCACAGGCCCAGAGAGGCAGGGAGAACCGCCCCCCCCCCCACCATTCTGCCCAGGGGACAGAGCACAGAGCACAAGCGGGCTCCGGGAGGATGTGCTGGGGGGTGGGTGTAAAACTACACCTGCTGCCTGAAGGCAAGTCACTTCACTTCCCGTCTCCGAGCCTCAGTTTCCCCACATCCAAGAGGAAGAAGGCAGGACTAGATGCTCTCTGAGCAATGCAAGCCTCTGGGTCCAAAAAGTAAAAACCTAAAGCTATAATGAGGGGCGGTCATTGTCAGAATACGGGGATCGGGCTAGCGCTTCATCTGCCGCACCTCATTAATCCTGGCACTTCCCTCTGAGACAGTGATAATTATTGTCCCACTTTGCAGATGAACTCACAGGTGCCTAGGAGTTAAATTGCCTACATGTGATGAGTCTTCAGCTGGTAAGTGGCAGAGCTAGAACTTGAACCAGCGGCTTTGGTTGTTGAGCCCAAATGACCCGAAGGGTCCCGCTGCTCTGGGCTCTGCCTTGGCCCTCACCCCTGCCCCTCGGCTATGCCATGGGCTTGTCCGCCAGGTCAATCGAAATTTAGGGTTGGAAGGAACCTGCAAGACTCGCCACCTAGAGTAGTCCCCAGCCCATGCTATCATCCCACAACACCTTGGCCACGTCCCCTCCGAACAGTTGTCTGACTCTGTGGGTCACCTCCCGTGGCAGGAAGCACACCCTCTCCTGGGACAGTCATCCCATCTTTGGGCAGCTGCAATCGCTGCAAAATGCTTCCCTATATAGAGCGGAAACCTGCCTCCCTGAGATCTTGTTGCCTAGCGGCTCTGTTCTTCCCTTGGCTCCAGAAAGGGCTACTCCCTCTTAGATATCAGTCCTTCAAGTATTTGAAGACATCAGCCGTGTTCCCCTTCCCCTCCCAAGGCTGTTATTTCCATGGTAATCCCCACAGGATGAGATTTGAAACCTCCTTACTCTCCAGCCTCTGCCCTTTCCTGGTCTTCCCCTGGCCTCAGTGCCAAGAGCCACCTCTGTAGGGTACAGAGGTCTCTGGAACAGAATGTTCCCCAGCACTGAGGCAGCCCCACTTCTGCTCCTGACTCCCTCGCTCTGCTGTGGGCCCCAGATCCCAGGAGGGCAGAGAAGTGGGAAGGAACAACATATCACCTGGGATGGTTGGCCAATGTCAAGGGTTGTGGCTGGACAGCAGGATGGGGGCACCTCTGCCAAATGGCTTGATGCCTGTCCACTCAAGAGACATCTGGCTTGGTTACTAAAACCTCATTTTGGCTCAACCTGGCCAGGTAGTCCCACTCCTGGGACTCCTAGTTCCCAGAGAGGACTTTTCCCTGACTCCCATCAGCTATCTTTTTGGTGCCCCCGGGTCCCAGCACCCGTTCCCTGGTATGGGGAGAAGCTGCCATGTACCCTGGCAAGCTGACCCACCTGGATCCTATTCTCTCCGGGTGTTCCAGGAGCTTGTCTGGCTTGGAGCCTGGACCACCAGGCCCCTTCTTCTAAATCCCCTCCCAGAGGCTGGGCCTGGCCTGCCTGCCTCCTCCCCACCTCCCCACATACTGGATGGTCCTTTCATTTCCTCAACTCCCCACAGCATCTCCTCACTTCCCTCCAGCTCCTGAAAGGGCACCAGGCAGCTGGCGGTGGGTGGTGGTGGTTGGGGCACAAGCTGACTCAGATGGCAGAGTTGGCATGGCAGGGTCTTCCCAAGGATGGCACCAAAGGGGGTGATGATACCACCCCGTGGTAGGATGGCATGGGGACCCAGAGATGGCAATGATGGCACCACGAGGGTCACTGAGGAGCTTGGGTGCAGGGATATGATCCAACCTTAGCGTGGGCAGGAGGCTGGACTTAGGTTGGCAAGAAATGCCCAGGGGGCCCCCAGCACTGATGAATAAGCCTGGAATGTTGGCTTCACTGCCTAATGGACACCAGCCCCCTCTTTGGATCTGCCTCAAACTCTCCCTTCCCCCTTCCCCAAGCCCTAGAGTCTGGAGACCAAAGCTTCTTTGGGACAGGTTGAGGTGTGGGGAGCTAAAGGGGCTGGTAGGGCCCCGAATTCTCTCCCTGCCCACCTCTGCCTTCCTGAATACCTCCACCCAGACCCCCAGCCCAGCCTGTGTTGTGATCACAGTCCTTCACAAGGGTGAGATTTAGGGAAGGGGGGCAGAGGGGCAGGGCGAGGTATGTAATCCCCCTCCTCTCGCTCTTGGGATCTCTGTGGCTCAGAGGTGATAGCACTGGACGGTTCTCGTGCTGGGAGGAGGGAGGCAGAGACCGGCCAGGTCTTGACCTCCCCCTGCCCACACAGCTGAGCTTGCAGCCTGTGGGTTTGCTGAGGCAGCACTGCTTCAGCTTTCGGAGAGCTCTTAAGAAGCGGGGCAGGCAGCCAGACCTCCTGTGGGAAGCAAGGAAGGGCCTTGGGAAGCAAGGGGAATGTATCTGTCATGGGTGACTACAAGGCACCTGGGAAGGCCAGGGATATTGGCACTCAGGATGGGGCTCACCTCCTGGGACTCTCTGCTTTAAAAAAAAGCTGTCACAAGTATTCCAAGCAATAACCCCCCTTACTCCTTTCCTAGTAGAGACTTGGATCTCTGGGGGGGAGTTAACTCTGTGGTCTGAGAGACCAGAGTCCCATTCTCAGAAGGGGGCAGAAGAAGGTCAAGTTCAGATCTGAAGACTGACATGGAGACCCAGTGGGTCTCACTGGTTTAGAGACGAGGAGCTCCTTGGGGTGCCTCAGCCAGGCCCCACCCTGCCCCTACTCATCTACTCCTGGTCACTCTCTAGATGACCTTGACCTTGAATTAACCTCATATCCTGAGGGGTGGACTGGACAGAATTAGGAGCAAGATGGGCATTGGAAAGAGCTATAGACGAGCTCTTGACACCTGGAAGGAGCCAAAGACCCCACCCATTTTTTTGGTCTTCAGTGCCCCCTCCTCGACTGGATAAACAGGAGCAGGTGGGAACAGAACACCGGGTGCAAGGGAGAGGGAAGGAGGCCTTGGCCTGAAGTCTGGAGAGGAGGCAGAGAGCGCCCTTGACACAGCCTCCTTTTCTCTCCCCATCCCCAGCCGGCTCAGCTCATGTTGCTCCCCGCAGAACTTCTTGCGGGTCACTAGTGAGCACCTAGAACTTGGGGAAGAAGTGGACAGATTAGAGGTGGGGGGGCATTAAATTTAAGTGGTGGCCTCCCCCAATCCCTATAGCGCCAGGAGTCTGGGCTCCGCCTGCCTTCACTGGGGAATAATTTATTCATTGTGACTCCCGCAGGAGTAACGATCATACATAATTAAGGTTAATTACGACATTCATTAATTATGATGACTTCTCTTTTTGCTTCCACCCACCCACCCTCCCCCCGCCCCCTGTCCCGCTCCCGGGGTGGGGGGTGGGGCTGCCTGTCCTTCTGCTGTGGAGACGCAGCAACAGTCCCCCGGTCCCCTCCCGCGATGGCCAGAGCTGTCGCAGCCCCCAGCGCGCACTCGGGAGCTACGCACCCCCGAGCCGCGGCCTCACGTCCCCGAGCCTAACCTCGCTGGGAGGGGGGAATGCAGGACTGCGGCGGGTCCGAGAGCGACATCCAGAGAGACCCAGAGATAAACATATATAGACGCCGAAAGAAAGCGGGAGAGACACCAAGACAAACAGGTTGTAGAGACATTTTCGGAGAGACACAGGCAGAGAGGGACAGACCGAGCTACAGACAGAGACCTGGCGGACGCGGAAGGGGAGCGCCTCGCACGCACACACCGGCGCGTACACCGGCCCACACCCGCTACACACCGCTACACACTCCCTCCGCCTTCGCTGCGCCGATTCCCTCCAACAAAGCCGAGTTACAACCTCCCCGGAGGGTCGCGGCAGCGCGTCCGCTCATCACGCGCGCAAGGGCGTGTCGTGCCTGTGTGATGGGGGCTCCCTGTGGCCCCTCGTCGCGAACCCACTCGCCCTGGTCGCCGCGCAGAGCCTTCGGGATCACCCGGGTCCCGCTGCCGTGACCCCGCGGCACCCGAGCCCACAGTGGTGACCGCGTCGTGGAGAGGGCACCCGGGCTGGGGACGCACCGGGCAGGGGTCCAGGCCTCTCGCCTCCTGAGTTACCTTGGTTTCCTGGAGGGCAGAGACGGTCCCCGGGGGGGTGTGGGTGGCCGCGTCATCCGGTTCGTTCTCCTTCTCGCTCATTTCGGTCATGGTTGGGGGAGAGCGGGAGGGTGCCAAGACCCGACGGCAGGCCCGCTGGGGGCAGGTTGCAGGTGGCAGACGTCTCTCTGGAACCCTGAGGCCCTTCTCCAGAGACTGCCCCCCAGTGAACCCCAGGAAAAATCCGCCCAGGCAAAGCGACCCCCCACGGCCGGGAGCGGGCGGAGAAAGTTCCCGGGTTGGCCAGTGAAGAGGGGTAATTACACGGAGCCTCGGGAGCCGGACGATCCGGGAAATGAGGACCGAGGGTCTGCAGAGGATGCTGCTCGGAGCGAGGGGAGGAGGGAAGTGGGGACGCGGGGATGAGCTGAGGGAGGGAGCGACGGAGCAGTCCGTGTCCGGCCGGCTCCGCCGTCCTCTGCGCCCGCCCCCCCATCCCTTTCCCCCTCCCCCCGCCGGCCCCAGCCCGGCACCAGGGTCCCCTCCGCCCAGTCCTCGCCTTCCAACTTTGATTTAGGAGGTCGCCTGGTCCCTCCCCCTTCCCTCCGCGGCTCCCCCGCGCCGCTATGCAAATCAGCTTCTCAGCTATTGGCTGCCGCGGTGGCCAGGAGCGTGAGCTGGGCGGAGCCTGGGGGGGGCTCGATAAGATGGGGAGGAGCCTGAAGGGTAAAGATGTGGGTAGGGGGTAGTTATACACCGAAAGACCCGGAATGGGGGTCGTGACAAAGTCGTGGAAGACTTGGGAGACCATATTAGAGTCTGGATGGGCTTGAGGGGAACAGAAAAAGGTTGGATCTGCAGAAGGATAGCTGAGAGTTACATCAAAGTTAGGACTTTCTGATAGCGAAGTAGTGGAAGAATGTGGACCCTTCTGCACCATTAACCGGACGTCTCTGCCCTGGAGACTCCAAATATACACATCCCTGGACCATGAGGAGATGTCCTCATAGTGCCCAAGCAGAGGACTCTGCTCCTCAATCAGAGAAGGGACAACTTAACATCATGTGTCAAAGGCCAGGCCTGACAATCCCTCCTTTGTGGATGCAGAGCGGGATTCCTTCCCAGGCTTGGCCTTTGGAATTCAGCAGAGAAGGGGCCTCAGTCCCCACAGCTAAGGTCCCCAAACCTCTCCAAGACACGTTCCCCTCCTAGACATCCTACCACAAATGGAGTTAGATCAGGGGGTAGGGAGAGGTAGGGGGAAGATGGTTCTTACTCTCCAAATTGTCCTCTGTCCACTTGGCCTGAAGGTACTTCTTCATGCATGTTGCTTACCTGCCATTTCCCCAAGTCCTCCTCCCTCACCTCCAGCCCTCTCTCTTCCTGCTCCTTTTGGCCCTGACCAAAAGGTCTAGCTTTATCTCCTGGCCTGTCCAAAGAAAGGGAGGTAGGTTGGGGGTTGAAGGAATCCTTCCTTGGGTGTGGGTGGAGAAACTTCTGGATCAAAGTCTCCCTCCTCCAGGGGCTCCTCTGCTGTGGGTGATGAGATTGGGGGCGGGGAGGGTGTCACTGTGGGGGGGAGGTGGCACTCAAGAGGGTTCTGCCTTTATGCCAGCCCTGAGGAACAGAGGCCGAACCCTGTGTCCTCCCTCCTGCCCACCCCTGCACATAGCCATACATGCAATCTCTGTCCTCCCAAGAGTGAGCTCACCATTGGAGCACTGCTCAGGTTACTATGTGCAGGAATAGAGATTTATTTGTCAGTGGCAGAAACAGGATGAGGGGAGAACTGAGAGTTTGTGGTTGTGGGGGCTTAGTCCCTTCCCCCTCCAGATCCACCCACATCAGCTGCAGACTGACTCTGAGTGCTAGCTTTCCTGAAAGGAGCTTCAAAGGATCCTGGCCTCAGCCCACAGACCAGTCTCCCCAAATGCGCATTCATTAGCCAGCCTTCTGCCAATACCCTCTGAGGTGAGGGCTGCAGTCTTCCCTCTGGCTCAGCCCAGAGTAGCCCAACATCCCTCCCTGGGCACTCAGACTTAGGGGTGCTTGAAGCACCCTGAGAATAGGGTCAACAGGCCCTCCATCTAGCCTGGGCTGGAGCAAACAGGGGGCTTTTCTGTGTTGGAGACCTCCTGACAGGCAGTTCCCGTTTCCCCCTAAAGAGCAGAGATTCTGAGTTTCTTAGACTCTAATACCTATTTAGTCACGAATTAATTGTGTGGCCTTGGGTAGGTAGCTAAACCTTTTAGAGCCTTGATTTCTTCATCAGCAACACAGAGGCAGTGCCTACCTCACTGTGAGGAGAATGGCTGAGGTAGCTCCCCTTAGCCCAGGGAAGCCTGCAGGGAAAGTTGTTTTCTTCTTTCCCTCCTTCTGAGAGACTGGTCCTTTCCCAGTGCTTTCGCTGGGGCAGCGAGAAGAAACAGCTTCCTCCTCTCACTTTCCTGTTAATTCATAAGGGAACCAGCTCCAAAGGAGATTCTGGGAGGGAAGAATTCCCCGGGGGAAGCAGTGCTCTGGGTGACCCAGGAAAGCCAGGGAAGTTGGTGGGCTCTGGGGCCCATCTGGTCTAGGCATCGGAAGCCCAAGGTGGGGCCAATGCGGAGGAGGCAGGGGGCTGGATCCCATGACCTCTGGATGTCCTTTCTGGCCTGCAGCCTTCATGCTTCAGAGCAGTCTTTCATGAACTAAACCTGAGTCATTGCCTCCGTGCTGACAACCCCCCTGCAGTGACTGGGGACAGGGCAGGAGTAGCTAGCTCCTGGAGAAGGAACATTATGTCATCTCAGAGTCAGAGGGCAGATATGAGGGGTGGGCTGAGCCAGGGGCCAGGTGCTATAGGAGGGTAAGTAGCAGTCACACCCAGAAGGGCTCCCTAGACCTCAAGTCATAACGGAACTACCCGGTGCCTCTTAATAGGACAGCCGAATGAGTGAAAGTGGGTGCTAGGCTCTTGGGGGCCTGGGGACAGAGGGATGGACCAGATGACTCCAAATCTGTGCACAGCACAATGTCCAGCACATGAAGAAAGACTGGTTCTCATCCCAGTCTGCCCTTTTCTTCCTTTTCTTGGGCAGAGACCTATCCAGCTCTGGAGGGACTTTGGTTTCCTTCTTTTTAGATTGGCAGAATTGGAGTAGATTAGATTGACATAGGGAGTCAGATTAGAATGGGGGCAATAATTGTATATCTCTTAGTGTTCTTTTGAGGATTAAATGAGTTAACATATGTAAAGAGCTGGAAAGAGTAAGGGCACAATAAATAGTTTTTACCTATCTATCTACCTATTTATTTATTTAGGGATACTTAACTTTGAGCTTGCAGGCGAGCTTCAAGGAGTTCATGAATCCCTTGAAGCTCTAGAAAATGTTGGAGGATAAGCATTTTCTGGGGGAGAGTCTAGAGCTTTCACCTTCTCCTCAGAGAATCTAAGATCCCCAAAAGATTAAGAACTACTGGCCTGAATGATCCCCAGGACCCGTCTACTCTGAGCGGTTGATTCTCTGATGGGAGGGATTGCTTCTCCTTCCATAAGGACTGACCTCTTTTCTCCCTTGAACACCTTCAGCTCAAGCCCCTCCCTGCCGTGGCCTCTGAGCCCCTGAGTTGCCAAGGACAGTCCAAGCTGAAAACGTAAGTGGCTGGTTTTTTCTCCAGCTTTAGAATTGGTTCTCCTAGGGTGGGGAGTCTGTCACAGTTGAGGTCAAGTCTGGTTCTCGTCTCCCAGCTGGGGAAAGGAAGAGGGCTCAGGCTCCGTGGGGCAGGGGACACAGAAGACACTGAGAGGCCTGGCCTCCCCTCGTCCCCCTGCCGGCCCACCAGGGCCCCAGAGGCAGATACCACTCTAATGAGCTAAGGTCCATGCAGGCAACGGTAATTATGATTTTATGAAAATATAGAAGGCTCTTACGCAAGTGCCTGGCTGTGGCATCTGGGACAGCCAGGTCCCCAGGGGCTGGAGGAGAGCCCTTCCACCACCCCTGCTGCCACCAACCCCTGGAGCTCAGGACACTGGCAGAGAGCCGCCCTCCCACTGCCTGTGGCACTGTCCCCAACACACTCTGGGTGAGCCGTTCCCTCTCTCTGTGGCCCAGGCTCCCTGGAGGGGAACAACATGGGCTCCAGGATATGCAATCCCTCCTCCCCTCCGCAGCCAAGCTGAGGCTGTCCCGGAGACCTGTCCTCATGGGAGGGGGATGGTGGCCTTGGGATTACCTCCCTCTCCTCCATGAAGAAAACCTCTCCTGCCTGAAAGATGTCCCCTTCTATTCTGTTTCTTTTCTCCTGGGGGCTGGGGCCATAGGGCTGACAGCAGCCATGGGGCCAGGAGTCACAGCCCCTGGCTGCACCCTCCCCAGGCCCTGTGCCGGTTTGCCGCCCCCCACCTCCCAGGCCTCTGATGGTGTCCTCCCCACCCACAAAGCCTCTGTTGCCAAGGTAACAGCAATGTCATCAGTTTGGGGTGAGCAAGGAGGTGGAGCCAGTGGACTGGTGGAGGGGGTGCTGTTAGGGGTTAGAATTTTGGAGAGATGAACATTGAAGGGCCCCCCAACTCTTAAGGAGGATCTTTTGTGGAGAGCTGCCTGGGCACAGACTGGAGAGGAAGGTTGCCGAGAGCCCATGGGAAAGAGGGCGGATGAAGTCTGGAAGCAGCTGGATCCAGGTGTTAGAGGTGAGGGTGACTTGGCCTTACTATGCTGGAGGAGCGTCAGGGTGGCGATGCCAAGGAGAAGTTGAGGCAGGGACAATGGAGCCTGCCTTTAACTCCTCCCTCAGGGTCCAGCTTGTTAACTTGTCCTGGGGAGAGGCATTCAGGCTGGGAGAGTCTGGACCCAGCTGAGGCCGCGTGGGGGGCCTCGGGCCAGCCTGGGCCCACACCGCCCCCTGCAGACTGCACAGAAATCTGCATTGGATGTCCTTCCCGGAGGGGCGTCTAGGTGGCGTCTTTGAAGGTCTACATTTGACACATCTAAACCATGAGGTCCTACTAAGTGCCTCGAGCGGCTCTGGGCACCAGGGGCGCCTGAGCCTTGCACTCAAGGCCTTCTTGTAAATCCTGACCCAAAGAGCACAATAATGCAAAGGGTTTTTCTGAGCCGACTTGGGGTACAGAGCAGGGGAGGCAGATGCTGCAAGCTGGGTTGATAGAGGCCATCGAGTAGACCAGAAGGCAGAGGCCGGAGTATTCCAAGCAGAGGAAACAGCC